CCTCAACTTCAGATCACCAACAAGGCAGGCTTTATGGACTTGAGGAAAAATTCCTACTCGCCTTTTGCGTTTTAATCTATAATGCTTAACAGAAGGAAATAATGTGTCGTCTTACAGCTGTTTGTCATTTTCAGGGTCACCTAACGCAATTTAATTATTCTTCGATATAAACCCTAATACGAGAGAAACAACAACAAATAAATAAATAAATAAATAAATAAATAAATATAGAAAGAACAGTGAGACAGGATCAAGACAATATACGCGTTAAAAAAATTACAGTATAAGTTTTAGTATAACTTTTTTATTTTTCATTTCAAATCAAAGTTTGAATTTAAGCTACCTATACTTTTAAGTATATAAAGGAGACATACAAATATTGATGACCCCCGACGTGGGTTACAGGTAGTCATAACAAGAGGAGGTATATATTGACACACGGTTGACCAGATCAGGAGCTTCCCTTTTCATTTACTCTATTGATTTGGTATCAACGGGTAGGAAGCTATTTGAATTCAACACAGCCTATCGAACTTAGGTGTTTCAGTACATCTGTGTTCATAAAAGCACACACTGGTATTATTTGTATGTGTAGTTGGTATTTGATGATATCTGTTAAGCTTTTCTCTGTATAAAACGCCTGTACTAATTGTACAATATATACGCTATGTAAACATATTCGATATCCAGGCCAGAACGTATATGTGAACAGTTACTACAAGGCTAGCTCGCCAATATACAAAGGTGTGGGTCGTTTAAATAATTACTATGAACATATACAATGTCAGAAATAGACAAGTACACCGAATTCTATACACTTAAAGAATAGATGGCCAGTTCTTGATGTCTATTGAGGACAAGACACTTTTAACGAGAGCAGTATTTATCTATCTGACAGAAGATAATGAAAGTTTAATTCCATACAGCTTGATAAACGGACTCAAATCGTCTATTTTACCGAATGGGTTTATGTTTTTATGAACTTGCAACTCTTTCCAAAATGGTATAAATGTAGGTTGTCTACGTAATATTTTAGCTGTAGCGCGGGTCATGGAATATTTGTAAATACCTGTAACACAGATAAACACACTAGCGATCATGGTGTAAAATGATGTAATTATACAAAAAAATATTAGGAACGGAAAATTTATTAAGAGTGTCACATTTGTTGTTAAGACAAACATAACATAGGGATGGGATTGAGAATCTTTCCCATGTCCCTTCTGAATCTATGATACCGTTCTCCAAATCATAGAGACAGGTTTGTCGATACAAGGCAACCTCTCTATACAAGGCTACCACTACTAACATTGAAATACAATTATCTTGGTAGCATAGACAAAGAAATCTGTATATATGGTTACGCTATTAAGATATATGACAATTATCTTATTTTCTTCAAACCATTTTGCCTTTGTAGGGCAACTGCAAATTCAACATTGTCGTCTTCCTGTTTGATTGCTTTGCTTTATTGGAGTAATATTATTGTCCTCTCGACATTTCTGTGTTATTTCGAGTTAAAGCTCATTAGTAAGAAATACTGAAATGGCGTTAACTTTCGTATATAAAAAAATGAAAATGTTTGGAATACATTACTTACCTGCGTGTGTTATGTTGAAATGACATGTGTTAGCGTAACTCTAAGTATACTTACTGGAAAATAAAGCATGGATAAATTGTCACAACATGCTTTAATTTATTCTGAAAAATAACCAGCACCATAAACTTTATATTCCATAAAATACGTGTTCGGAAAGGCTACACATGATTATTCAAGAAAATATGTAAATTTCAACAGTAAGAACGTGATCGTTGTCTTTATGGAGTTTGTTTACAAATACCATTATCTAATACATATGTATTTCACTAAGATATATGAATAACGAAAAGATTCACAACACAGAAGACTGTATACTAATGGACTTTAAAACAGGTCGAAATACACTTTATTCAGAGTAGCGCCCTGTCAACTTGTTATAAATTATTTAATCGGCCGATATCTCTGAACTGTGACAATCCCACAGTTATAGTTGAGACGGACCACTTTGAACACATTTTTTACTTTGTTTTTCGGATTTCTTTTATTCTTCTCTCCTTAACGTATAAAAAAGGTTGGATGAATTCAACCAAGTATAAGCCGGGCAATATGCGTCTAAGAGAATCATCGACTGGTTACATTAATCACGAGTAAAGCTCATTAACAAAACAAATAGTTCTCGTAATGGTTTTTTGTATAGAATACTATACATTACTCTGATGTCGTTACTGTACGACTTTTATGAGTGGTACAGAACATGGGACAATATTTAAATCAACGAGACATGAATGACTGTCGCACAGATCTGGTCCTTGAAAATAAAGATTAATGGAAAGAAGTTAAATGTAATCCGATAATAATGTTTCCCGGCGTGTCTGCTCTTATAACATTTGGTAACCCACTAAAGAAAAACCGTCGGAATCTACCGCTAGAATAATAGACTGCAAAGAATTGCAGAAAAGCAGTCAATATCCCGGAATTAACCTATAAATTGATCGGAAATCACCACTTTTAACATATATTCGCTTAAATAAGTTGAATAAATATCACAAAATATAAATATTGTGTATGAAAAATATTATGGATGACTTGATATATGTATATGAGTTTCTCAAAATTTGTTTTATTTACAGCGATATTGTAATATAACAATGATTAATAATCCGCTATCATACCTGTAGGTTCTATCAGATATTGGGAGTTATTTATACTTATTTTCTTTAATTAAAATCTTATATCAAAGGACATTGTTCCCTTTGATCGCGTGATGAACCGAGGTGTTCTTCGTCCTATAAATAACTGATCAAAGTAGATTCGCCAATAAGGTACATTTTTAGAAATGGGGTCAATATCGTTAACTAGTTATATATTTAGATTCCCAGAATTCTGCTGCAGATGTCTACATGCTAGACTTGCCAGAACACAAGTCCGTGCAAAACAATTACTCCTAATATAACAGGCAGCATGTAAACACAGCAAAGTGTAGTAAAACAGCCACATCTATATACACAGTGCCTATTGGATTTACTCTATGATAGAACAGTTCCAGATTTAAATATTTATTTGTATAGTGTAATCACTAGCACTCTCGGGGGATACTATATGGATTATACTCTTTTCCAGATCCAACACTGTCGCACTGCAGAATCTTTCAAAGTCGGTCAGAGGGTCCACGCCATCGTATTTTCGCATTTTCGTATTATCGACATTATGTTGAGGGAGCAAGAATGCTATTTTTTTAAAATTTGACCCCTGATACTTATGGCAGCTGATATAAGTCCTTTCGTTTACCTTGGATTCTAAACATCGTTTTTTCGAAGCGAAAGAACGAAATAACGTGAAAATGTAACAGGTAATAAAGAAAAGCTCGAGATCGAAAACTTTAAGTCGAGAACGTTCAAATAATTCCGCGGACTAATACTACTGGGGGTGCCAGGGGCAATGATTGTATAGATAGGCTGGCTAAATTTCCCGTCCCATTGAGCTGTTTGCTTTTTCGGGTCAATTTAAAACTACTAGCAAACGAGGGGTGTCTACAGGTGAAATTAGAGAACGATCTATTAAGCATTCCTGAGGAACTGTGGACCACGTGGAACATGCGCATAAAACGTTGTAATGATCCATTAATCGTTACTCAAGAACTGTGTATAACAACCTACAATATAAAAATTCAAGATGGCCGCCTGACTGCCATTCTGTTTAGCTGATTAGGCAAAAATTTAAATAGGAACCAGTAAAGGCTATGCCGTGGAAGGGAAGTGTGAAATTTAAAAAAAAAGATCAATTTAGTATCCCAAAAGAAACAGAAATAGCTTTAATTGTAAAATAAACGAATAAATAAAAAAAATCAAAGAATCAAAGATTACCGTCTGAGACAACATGAGAGGAACTTGCATCTAAAAGAGAACCATATCATATTTCTAAAAAAAAACAAAACAGCGATTACAAACTTTTTATCTGTCAAAATTTAAGATGTCCGGCTGTCAGCCATTATGATAAAAACAATATTTCTTATGGAATATATATGACAAAAACATACATGTACCTGTACACGCGGTACTCTGAGCACCAATGACAATGACTTTTATGATCGCAATATCTACATCTGATAGTGTAAAACGACGGGATGTAAATCCGGGCGTTGTTGGGCATTTACAAGTCTATCACAATTTCCGGTTACAGCGTCTGGCAAGCGTCAGTGTGATACAGTTAAAGTTACAAAAATTCCGCGGGAATAAGACTGTCAGTCGAAACATCGTCCTATTTTTTGTAGGATTTTCAGAAGTTTCTAGTATGGTAACTACGGACAAAATATTACACTGAATATCGGTTATGTTATATTTAGTGTGACTGGACCTGCATTTCTTTGAGGTTTCGGTAGATACCCGGATGATGACGGGTTTGCCGACATCTCACTGCAGTACTGCAGTACAGCTGACTTTCTAAGCTTACATGTGAAACATAAACTTATTTTCATTTGAGTCTTATGGTCATTTGGTATTTGAAAAAAAAACAGTATAACATTAACAGCTGTATTTTACATATAGAACGTCCTATTCCTGAGATATCGAAACAAAATTTATCTTGAATTAGGCTACCGTACGAATTTAATAGGAGCGCCATTGAAAAGCAGTGCCGTAAAAGTTTATGCCTATGATAGACCTATATAGTTACGTACCTGGTTAGTTGGAACAGAAAATACAAACCACTAAGACCAGAAGGCATTTCGTTTTGGTCCGTTGGCTACCTTGGCAAGGAATTATTTAAGAATTAGGAAACTGTAGCTGTATATATTTTCATGCTATATAAGCAAATTTATCCGTACATAGGTTCTGGAAACACCCTGCATCCATCAGTAAAACAGGGGAAACGGGATGTGAATTATGTTTACTTTATACAGTACACTGACATTTAGTCTTAATTCGAATCATAGTAAAGTAATTACTTCTGTTTTATTTTAAAGTTCGGTGCACAACCAGCTTGCTGTAGGAAGCAAACAGGACAGAGTGAGACCAGACATACAAGATCAACATGGTAAGAAATGTCAACTATAATTTATTGTTCGTGAATATCAGTCATCTAATTGTGGTTTCCTATTGCAGTAAGGCACCTCACATGCTTCCATCTGGACCAACAAGAGCGATTATATGAGCTGGCAATTTGTTTTGCAATTATTGTTTAATAAATAAACTTTATTGACATATTAATACAACAATATATATACCTTTTAGTACAAAGATAGATAGACTTATAATACAAAGATTCATAGACATATTAAAACAAAGATACATAGACATATTAATACAAAGATACATAGACATATAATACAAAGATACATAGACATATTAATACAAAGACACATAGACATATTAATACAAAGATACATAGACATATAATACAAAGATACATAGACATATTAAAACAAAGATACATAGACATATAACACTTTCTTATTTTTTTCCCCATGATTTGAACAAACTGTTGTACCATTTGTAACCCATTTAATGTCAAATTAAAAAAACAAACCTTGATACAGACTCAAAAAATTTTATTCTTTCATAAATCTTCAGATTTGAAAGCAACTGAGCAGACCTATTGTTTATATCAAATGCATGTAAAAGAATAATTATATTGGTGAATTATATAACAAATCAAAGATATTTTTCTATGATACAGGCCTTCATATATATATATCACTTATTAAATGATGAAAAGGGAAAGAATATAGAATTGTTTGTTATTCTTCAAGGATGCACATATTTTAATACCCCTCACTTGGTTAAGGAGGATGTATAAAGTATTATCAATTTGCCTGTTCATCTGTCCGTCCATCTGCAAATTTTTTTTTACAAAATATCTTATGAACCCACAGACATTTTGAAATAAATAATTCAAGCTTTCAAATTTCTTCAAGGTATCTATATGTATCTCATGAATATCTCAACAGATTTAGTTATTTAAGTCCTGGCCCATTTTGCTTTTATTATGCCTAAGATACCATTAGAATATCGCTAAAAACTGAATTCATGTATCAAAATATTTCCATTACTGATACATTTTATATAGCTTATTCCTTATCTTTATGTTGCAGTGATATCATTCGAAATATGTGTAGCAAACCGCTACAAACTAAACAAGAAATACAGAAAGTTGAGCAGTAAATTAAATGAAGACCCAGAAAACCTTTCCCTGCGAACAAACACAACGCAAGCTCAGGTATGTAATTGTAATAAAGAATACTTACATTTTCTTTCGGCAGTTAACATTTCATAATAAATGGCACATGTCATTTACGTACAGTAGAGTGATTTTACATGGTCCTTTTATGTTTATTTGCAGCTTGCCGCACACGCAGAAAATGATGACAATAATCTTGAACAAAAACGACAACAGGGGAAGAAAGTGGTCTATGGACAAGTGGTGCAGGTATAGCTATTGATTGTAGGGATAGATGTCCAGAGTCACATGATCCTTAAATGACCCTTGATGTTGATAGGATGTTAAACAATATATAACAAGTCAAAAGTTACCAACTTACCTGATCTCATCAGTTTAACCTTATTTGGCTAGATCATAACCTGTGAAAATGCTGATGTTGCCTGACATTTCATTACTGTGGATCAAAATATAGAATATAAATCAAGAAAAATCAATCTCAAAAGGCTGGAGGCAAGTTCTTCTTAATTATAGGTCAGTCTTATCCATTAATCCCAAGCTGTATACCTTCGGATATCCTGGTGAAGGACCCATCTACTCACTACTTACTTGAAGCTATGACAGTGTTGGCTCTATCTCAGTTACATAGAGTAATGTAATTTCATTAGTAATCATATGGGAAAGAAAGGACAGAAGAGAAAAATTAAAAACAAATTCTTGGTTGCTGAAGTAAGATAATATCGGATTGTTGTTTGATATGCTGTCTTTATGGTGAAGGAGATTTAATACTATTAGAGGAAGAGAGTTAAAACAGCACAGGATATAATCTAATTACATACATTAGACAACTATACAATGATATTGATCGAGTTCTTGTCAATGTGATGACCATTTAATTAAAATGCTTGCCCTGGGTCTTGATGGACATTTCAAAGTAGAAGATATCATTTATATATGGGTCTGTCCATGAGAATGGTGCATATAGTTGCACAATGGAAAAAAAGATTAACATCAATCTTTCAGCTGTTAACTTGGTCCAGATAAATAAATAATGGAGCTGTTCTAAAACTAGAAATAAAACATTAATGAAACTGATCTTCAGATCAACAAAATCAACAAATTATAAATAAAACAAAACTAACAATATTGAACAAAATAACACTAAACTCTACTTACAGCTGCTAGGCAAAATGTTACTGCCATATGATATGGCAATTAATGATCCTGTTTGAAATCTAAATTTGATAAATAAAGCAGAGCATTAAATCTGAAGAACATTAATTAATTTCAATGACCACATGCATGAAACATTATAACAATTTCTATGATGCAAAACTTTCTTATTGACATATTCCCAAATAGGAAAATAGGTCTTTTTTAATAGCCTTGCTTATTTTCTTAAGTGAGATACAAAATAAAACTATATACCCTACTTGAGCCATTGTCTGGGCAGACCCATGTACATGTATATTAAAGATATCTCCTCTTTCATGGCCTGCAATAGATATAGTTTCCTTGAATGATGCTAATTTTGTCTCCAATACAGTAAATTGAAAGTGCATGATTTGAATGTCTAATTTTTAAATCCTATACAATACAAAGATTTGTATCTGTGGATTTGAATGTCTAGTTTTTAAATAACATACAATGTTAAGATTTGTGTTTCCTTTCAAAGCTAGAGAATACCAGTATTGAAAACACCAGTAAAATATTAAAAAGAATACATGTATATGTTAAGTAGTCTAGTTACCGTCAAGCAACAGTTTTGCACTTAGGTCTAATATATGGGTGTTTCTTTAGAAATTGACAGATATTTTGTTTGAGCACCATGGACTGGAGGCAAGATATTTCTAATACTCCTTCCTATTATACATGTAAATATCATTACCCTGGTGAATGGGAAGGATGAGTCTCCGCGGTGTTGTCAATAGGATTTTATATAATATATTGTTGAGTCTGACAGTAACTGGAAACATGGACAGCTTGATTCAATAAGCAATAGCGATTATATATACATCTACATGGAATTAGTGGTCACCAAGCGCATTGGCACACTGCAATTCCTTTTCCTACCTGTTGGTACCAGTGTATATATTCATTTGTGATGGTAAAAGGTAAAATAGGTTAAAATATCATCGGAATAACCTTGGTTAATTATGATCTCTTATGAAAATGTCTGCCCAATACACGTCCCAACACTGTATCAAAGGTTTAATGCTATTCAGACTAAGGAATTGTAAATATTGATCCTGGCAATGAAGATATGAATATTTCCTTTATGAATTAGAAAGAGGTCAGTTTTATCGCTTTGAAAGAATTATGAGATAAATGTATTGGATTCCTGTCACTGTAAGCATATTTTTACTGGTAAACTTTGAAGAATTATGTGTAGATCTGGCAAAGTGATCTGAAAATGAAAGTATATGAACATTTTTGCTTGTTCAATTCTGGGAATTTTAGGCCTTAAGCAAAAAAAAAAAAAAAATTACAGATATTTTGATATCACTGTAATAAATTGTTCAGTGTATTTATCTTGTTGTCAACCAAAAAAATAATCCGATTCTAATTTTGATTTTTCAAGTTTAATTGTTTTCATAAAAAATTCTTAAATTCATAGTGTTGTTCCATTAGATTCCTGGACATTCACTCGGAACAGATTTCGATAAAATGGTTAAAAGAAACTGTTTGATAAAAAGGAGAAGAAGAAAAAAAGGAAAAACTGAGTATTACTTGAAGTCAGTATAAGGGTGAAACTGTGATTATATAATTGAAAAAGAGAGCTTTTTCCAAGGTACACATAACTTCATACCTCATTTTCAAAAAAATGTTTGTACTGGTGCAGACAAGTCTGTGAATGAACTGTACATACAGTCTTAAAATGTCTTATGTGATGGTTGAATGAATTCTTGAACTTTATCCATGCATGTTCACCAAAAGATCTGATAGAATAACAAACCATTTATGTACAAATTTTCTGTGTCATTATCAAAAATTAAAATGCATATGATTGTCACTCAAAGTAACTAAATAAGAAATGAAAGTTGACAGAATACAACAAGCAGTTTATTTGAGTTTAGCTTACTTCTTAACACTCTTAATAAACTTAATCGAAAAGACAGGTATCCTAGGATTAGATAGTTTGAAGTTTGGATTTAAAGTTTTCAAGGTTATCAGTGCCGCAGGACTCTTTATTTATACTGTGCAGTGAAGACTTTATTGATCTATCTGTAAATTGTGTATAACTGGTATTAAAGCAGTTTTAAAGACGGTTACATCAAAAGATAATTCTGCTGTACAGTTGAATGTAACAGTATAATGTTGTACCTGATACCCTAGGGCCTTGCATAGCGGAGTCCACAAGAATAGATACACACCTTGTGGTATACTAACAGCAACAAGAATATCTTTACAATGTTTTAATTATTGCCTTTAAAATGTAAATCGTACGGAGTTGAATCATGACAGTCTTGTGATACTAGCTGAATGAGAAACATTTTAACTGTAGAAAATAGTGTTTAAAGTTTACAAGACTTTAATTTTCATAAAAATAATGATACATTTGAGCACATTTCAGAGTTACAAAAGCTAGGATATCAGTTTCAATTAGTTTAGAAAAAATGTCAGTTAAAGGGTTAATTATAAATGGACACATACACTGGGTGTGCATATAATATATTAATGTGAATCATAATAAAATCATGACCATGCCAATTTAAAATGACTATTCAAATTGGGTAACCAAGGGGACAGTATAGAGAAAAATATTATGGTACAGTGTACATACTGAAAGCAAAAGTAATTTTTATTTTTAGACATGATCATTACTTTGGCCTGTATAAATGTTTGTAAACTAAATATTAAATGGATTTCAACACCAATGAGGGATCTTTTGTTGATTGTCCCTCCCGAGACCTCTGTGGTCATTTTAGTTACCAGACAATGGTGACTGAAGAGCTTAGTAGTACTGACCACCAGTGTGTACCGTATTTATCCTGTGACAAGCCCAGGAGTAAATACATTCTAGTTTGCCTTATTACAAGATAATGAAATAAGATGCAGCTTTAGAAAGAAGTTCGTTAGCTGCACAATAGTAATATGGAGGGGGGAGGGGGCGGCTTATTGTCACATGAGGTACATAATAAAAATCAAGGGAGGGGGGGGCGACTTATTGTCACATGAGGTACAGAATAAAAATCAAGGGAGGGGGGGGCGACTTATTGTCACATGAGGTACATAATACATTTCTTCTGATGACTAAATTAGTGGAAGAGGTGCCATTTTGGACCTTGTTCTGCACAAAAAGCATAAAGTGTACCAAGCTCACCTTGTAGAACCAGCTGAGTTCATATATTATCATTCTTTTCCATAATGCTTCGTCCAAGCAGGGTATATATTAAAAATGGGACAATTTTGTCAGCACACTAAACAACAGTGACCTGGCAATTTCTGGTGTATGGTTTTGTTGTTAATGGCTGGGTAATTGTATATTGTTACGAGTCACCAGACTATATGATCCAGGTGTTGACACAAAGGGTTCATGATGAAAGGATTTTTAATACACAATCTTAATCAGATCTTACAGATTTTAAGTATTTAGTGGCTAGCTCATTTGTAAACAAGGGAATGGACAGAGTAATCCAGCTTTATATATTGAATGTTTTGTTTTCATATGATATAACAAATTTAGTAGAAACTTAGGTCATGTACATGGAGCTACATTTCATTACTGAGTGAGAATATAGAATGACTGTAGAATGGTGTAAAATTCTGTCTAAAGTAATGACATAAAATTGAAAAAAAAACGAAAAATAAAAAAAATGAAAAAATAAAATGAAGAGATGAAAAAGAATATACCATGTCAATCCTCCAATAATGTAGTGAGCCAACAAATTATTAATGGCTCAGGCAGGAGGTGGGCTTATTACAGGACAAGGTTAGGGAGTCTATAAATGATATGGACTCATAGTTATGATATGTCAGTGGCATTTGGTGGTAATTTTTGGCTGGGTTGCACATAGGGGTACCAGTTTTGTAGAATCAACTCCTCCTAGAGTTTTTGACGTAGAAGTTTGAAACTTTGTAGGATGTTTATATATATGTTGAAGATGTGGCCCTTTTATTATGGATTCATTCCAGAAGTTTTTTCTGGATTTTCACAATTTTCATGGAAGCTTTAAATTCGTGCTTTGAAAGCAAATTGCAAATATAGCAAAATATAACCCCCTGCCAAATAAAAACACTTTACTGTACAAACATAAAGAAAGAAACTGTTAAGTTCTTAGCCCACCATCCATAGTGGGCTGATCAAATCACCAGTCTTAGCCCACCATCCATAGTGGGCTGATCAAATTACCAGTCTTAGCCCACCATCCATACTGGGCTGATCAAATCACCAGTCTTAGCCCACCATCCATACTGGGCTGATCAAATCACCAGTCTTAGCCCACCATCCGTAGTGGGCTGATCAAATCACCAGTCTTAGCCCACCATCCATACTGGGCTGATCAAATCACCAGTCTTAGCCCACCATCCGTAGTGGGCTGATCAAATCACCAGTCTTAGCCCACCATCCGTAGTGGGCTGATCAAATCACCAGTCTTAGCCCACCATCCATAGTGGGCTGATCAAATCACCAGTCTTAGCCCACCATCCGTAGTGGGCTGATCAAATCACCAGTCTTAGCCCACCATCCACAGTGGGCTGATCAAATCACCAGTCATCCGTGGTCCATCATCTGTTGTCCATTTCTGAAACTTTTCTTGTTATCACAGTTTCTAAGAAACTACTACAAGAACCTTCTGAAATTCCACATATAAATCACCTTGGGGCGCTAGATGTCCATTGTCTATTTTTGATCATCGCCAAATTAAAAATGACTGCAACTTCTTTCTTCAAATGCCCTTCTTCTGCACCAATTCATAAAACACAACCAAACTTTCTGTCTTATAACAAATATTCTACATAGTCAACAAATGAAACACCCTTAACTAACTGTCTTATAAATACCATATAACATTGCACTCATCCTGCAACCCGGCCAATTGTGGCTTTGCCCCATTTTATTGGACAGCAATAGAAACGAATGGGTCTTCAGCCAGATGTGGGCTTATTGTTAGATAAATATAGTATATTTAACAGGAAAATCATTTATCTTGGTATATTTATTCATTCATTTGTCTTTTTTTCAGTTAAAGAATATTTTCTCCGGGAAATACATCCATGTTAGCACAACAAAGACCTCCGAAACGGAGAGCAACAACATGGCGGTATGTGGATATATGTCCAGAAAATTTATTTATAACATATCAATAAGATTTTAGATTCTCTATCAACTTTGCCTCTTGATGACAAGTTTACTGAAAATGCAAGTAAATCAGTCTTACCATGGAAATATATTTTTTTTGACCAATCACACAGTAACAAGTAAAAAAAGGGAGAGAATCATGTTTTGGTAATTTTTAGTTTGGATTGAAAACATGTCCCTTTTAATGACTTTAATTATAATTCAATCTTACCATATATTATGTTTATTTTTTAACATACTTGAATCTTTTCCAGGTGGAATTACTGGATCACAATGCCAAGCATGCCCAGTTTAAGATCATGCCCCGATACAAGGTCAAGGCCGAGGGAGATGTGGTATGTAGTAGACAATGTTGTAGTGTATTGTAGGAATTTAACTCTAAAGAATGTGTGGTTTGAGGACAGAATGTTTTACCCTATGTAAGATATGGCAATTTAAACAAAAATCAGAAAACAATATAAAATCCAAGCAAGTAGAATTTTATGGCCCTATTTGTTTCATTCAAATAAATTAAACTCGCAAAATTGTTCCTTCAAAATATGAGGTTAGTGTGAAGTTGGGGTCTGTTGAAAGTTTCAACGCTAATGATAGGACATAAAAAGCAGTATACAGTCAGTCCTAATTGTAGGACATTACCAGTAGTATATGGTCATTCCTAATTGTAGGACATTACCAACAGTACATGTTCAGTCCTGATTGTAGGACATACAAGTAGTATATGGTCAGTCCTAATGGTCAGTCCTAATGATAGGACATAAAAAGCAGTATACAGTCAGTCCTAATTGTAGGACATTACTAGTAGTATATGGTCAATCCTAATTGTAGGACATTACCAACAGTACATGGTCAGTCCTAATTGTCGGACATTACCAGCAGTACATGGTCAGTCCTAATTGTAGGACATACAAGTAGTATATGGTCAGTCCTAATGGTCAGTCCTAATTGTTGGACATTACCAGCAGTATATGGTCAATCCTAATTGTAGGACATCACCAGTAGTATATGGTCAGTCCTAATTGTAGGACATTACCAGTAGTATATGGTCAGTCCTAATTGTAGGACATTACCAGCAGTATATGGTCTATCCTAATTGTAGGACATTACCAGCATTATATGGTCTATCCTAATTGCAGGACATACCAGCAGTGTGTTGTCAGTCCTAATTACAGGACATACCAGCAGTGTGTTGTCAGTCCTAATTGTAGGACATTACCAGTAGTATATGGTCAGTCCTAATTGTAGGACATTACCAGTAGTATATTGTCAGTCCTAATTGTCGGACATTACCAGCAGTACATGGTCAGTCCTAATTGTAGGACATACAAGTAGTATATGGTCAGTCCTAATGGTCAGTCCTAATTGTTGGACATTACCAGCAGTATATGGTCAATCCTAATTGTAGGACATCACCAGTAGTATATGGTCAGTCCTAATTGTAGGACATTACCAGTAGTATATGGTCAGTCCTAATTGTAGGACATTACCAGCAGTATATGGTCTATCCTAATTGTAGGACATCACCAGTAGTATATGGTCAGTCCTAATTGTAGGACATTACCAGTAGTATATGGTCAGTCCTAATTGTAGGACATTACCAGCAGTATATGGTCTATCCTAATTGTTGGACATTACCAGCAGTATATGGTCTATCCTAATTGCAGGACATACCAGCAGTGTGTTGTCAGTCCTAATTACAGGACATACCAGCAGTGTGTTGTCAGTCCTAATTGTAGGACATTACCAGTAGTATATTGTCAGTCCTAGTTGTTGGACATTACCACTAGTATATGGTCAGTCCTAATTGTAGGACATTACCACTAGTATATGGTCAGTCCTAATTGTAGGACATTAGCAGTAGTATATATCTCATAGGGTCAATCATAACAGCAAATCTAAGTGAACAAAATATGAATGTATGAAATTTGCTGATATCATTGTGGAAGATTATGTATTTGCAGTGCATTACACTTTGTTATATCAAAGGGAATTTATTCTGTACACAGTCTTTCTTATCTAAACACTTTGTAAAATCAATATCTCCTCTGTTATACCACAATCAACTACCACAAATATCACACACTTATGTCTTGGGATAATATTAGTTCTGTAATTATAACAGGACATGACAATGAGGCTATTGGCTGATAGTCTGAGACAAGCAGAATTGACACCCTGGCTAGCAGCTTTGAATATTGCAAGCCTAATTGACTTGTCAAAATTTTATAATTGAAATGTTAAGATAGTGGAAACAGTGGTGTTATATATGTTTAACAAAGTCAATCTTGCCTTTGAAATACATCAAACAAGATTTTTCATAGTTTATAGACCTCCCACTTAATAAAGGAGGGAAGTGATAATAGAAGTTGAAGCAAGACAAATGATCTGGCAGGACTATTAGATACATGATCTTCAAAGAACGACCATGTTATTGAGTATATTGAATTTATTTCAACAAATTCAAAATGAGATGGACTTCATCACAATATTTTATTTAGTGTGGAACTCTTACACAGTTAATTTCCAAAGATACTTTTTAAGCTGGATGAGGCAGTTTTCCTAGTGCCAAGACCAAAGTGTTACAGCATTATATACATCACAATAAGATCATTGAACGTGTCTCTTATGATGCTTCAGAAATGAATTTGCTACAAACTGATGTGCTAGTTACATAATAATTAAATGTTTCATGTAAATAATGATGACTAGGAGAAATATTCTAATAACAAATTGAAAAAAACCCAAAAAACTGGATAAATTTAAGATTTGAGGATATTAAAGTTTGTTTATTATGATATTAAAACTTGAACACAATTTTTTGAAGCCATATGTCTTGTGTTTCTTCAGCTTCGTCAGGATATTAGAATTTGACCATTCACAAGTGTTTAAGGGCATTACATCACTGATCCATGTTCTTTGGTGTAAATGGAGATGTATTATGAGTATCTTTTCTGTATCATTAATTCAGGTGTTTAATGACTTTTACAGGTACAAGTTGACGATCAGATAGTGCTGGAGAGTATCAAGTCTCCAAGTTCCTATCTCCATGTCAGCAAAGGCACAGTCGGCATTAGCTCAGTCTACTCTAAGTGGTGAGTGTCATGGATTTGGAAAAAACATATCGAACCAATAGGAACAAAATTATTTACCTGAATTGACAATCCTTTTGTGCAATTCACAGTTAACATGTCCTAATTAGTTCTGCACTAGGAACTGTTGAGGACTGTAGTTTTATGTTTTGTCCATGTGTCCTTCTGTCTGTGGTTCTGCTATCTTGTCCAATCCCTGTCTTCTACACCACTAATCGAGGGAATTTGTTTTTTGGAATATGGGTTCATCATGGTGAGAAGGTGTGTCGGATATCAAAAGTAGCTCACCCTGACCTTCCATGAGACAATTTGTCTGGACCTTACTTCCTACATTAATAACCATGGAAACTATATAATTGCGATATGGATTCTCCTTGGTCAGACTGTGTCACATATCAAAAATAGGTCTTTCTAACGAATATTTTTACCTTTGAACTACAACAAGGACAAAGTTTGTCTAGGCAGTATATCCTACACCATGAAGCTTGGGAACTTCATATGTTGGATATGTGCTTTACTTGGAGAGACAGTGCGTTGCATATCAAAAGTAGGTCATTGTGATCTTATTTTGACCTTTGACCTACATCAAAGAAAAAGTTTGTCCTTGCCCTATCTTCTGCAGTAGTAAATTTAATACGTGGGATATGGGTTCACCTTGTTGAGGTTTGTCATTGTGGGGCTGTGATTTGTCTTGTTCGGTAAGTTTCAGCTACATGTATTTAAAACTATTAACTCGACACTTATAAATAAAAGTATGGTTAACTCCAACACAAAAGTCATTTATCAAAAGTACCCAAATGACTAAGACATGTCAGATTGTCTTAGCAATCTTTCTTATGTGTCTGTTACGTATGTTATTGAACTTGAGAATAAGCGGTCATTGAATAAGTCTTACAATAGATTACCATATGTCAAAACTGTCAAATTCATCAAAAGTATTGTAAACAACCCCTCCACTCTCAACATTATTAGAGTTAATTCTGTTTGAAATATACAGGATTTTGAATAACAAATGCTGTACAATGATGGCTGATCTCCTGGATTAGTTTGAGGCAGTTCTGAGGAATACGTTTTATAAAAATTTGTTTGAACACTTGTTCCTCTATACTTGTTTAATAAATTACCACTTTGAGATATCTTTGTTTTGTTTCCAGCCATGAACTTAACCTCTCAGTGCAACAGAGTGGTTTCACTATATACCGCAAACATAAACCTGGTGCAGAGGACGAGAACAAGGTCAAGGTAAGTCGGTCAAAGTCACGGCAATGTTCTGGAGGTTTTTATTATATCTGATACATTGAGTATTACTTAAGACACTTAAAGTTAAAACTATGCTGGAATATATTGTCAAGAATTGAATTGATGAACTGAATTACATGGTGACAACAATTTATCCAGGTAATTGATAAATATATATCCATAAGTAACCTGGGGGTAAGCACCCTACCAGTGGAAGTAGACTAATAGAATAAATTCAAAATCTGTTAAAATTTTTGGAAACCTTAGAATTGCTCTTTCATGGCTTTCAGTTGTGAAGTTTTTTCATCACCCTAGGAGTAAAAGGAGATATAGTTGTATCATGTTTGGTCTTAGAGCTACTAGCATTCAACAACGAATATACCATTGTTGACAACTGTATTGAACTTTTAAATGCAGGATAGATACCTCCTGTAAAAATTAAGTTTTAATGTTAAAAATTTATGGATATTACAAATTTGTTTCCCTGGATACTAATTCATCTGATTTTGTGCTGTAGGTTGGAGATGTTATCAGGTTTTATCACAAAGAGATGGAGGCCTACTTAGTGGCAGAAGGTCTGTTTGATCAAGCTCTGTTGGAAGATGGTAGGTATTCATTACATGTCTACTAGATCTCGATCTAGTGACTAAAGGATGTTCCAAAATGTGTGTATCCTGTGTGAGGACTTCAGAGAAAAAGATATTCTATTCATGGTGCATACAAAACTGTTTGAATCAGATCTCTTCTCTGGGAGGTTCCTGTTTTAACAAACCTGAAGTTTTTCTTTTCTGGTGAAGATATTTTACTGGAATATCCCTGATTTAGTTTTTTATGTCGGTGGATGAGGACTGCAGTTGGTTTGAACACCGAAGAGGAATTTATTATAGAACAGAACATCTTCATAAACTCTTTTCTGCAAGAACAGTTTAAACATTTGTGTGATGTTACATAACTGAACAAATACTCAAGTTTTGATACTAGAAGTAAATCTTAATAAAATTGAAGAAAAATTAAAATTCTTTATACAAATTGTGAAAATAAATGACAAGTGTAGTCAATGGAATTAATGTAGCAGTTAACATTGAACTGTGTATTATGTTTAAGGAGTACAAGGTAGTTCCTTGTATGTATATGTTGTCATTGTGTATTTCAGTACATTTACGAATGCGTCCGTTGGATCAGACAAACCCAAAGACGCTGTTTCCGAGTACGTCTGCAGTGACTTACTGGCAGATAGAGTTACAAGATGGACCCATTAGTGGTAAGTCATGCAAAGATGTTGTTTGGTTTGTCTAGAATTTGACACACATTTTTGAGTGCTTTGGTAGTTGTGTTTAATGTTATGTTTAACATATATTTGTTAGACATGTTCTGAACTTTTTGAATGCTCAGGTAGCTATAGTAAATATTTTAGAACATTTTCCTCAGGTTGGTAATGCCAATAGAATAGAAGTTCTTATAACACAACCAGTAGAAGATTAGAGTGTGAGGCTTCTTTGACCAAGTGTTAAACAAAGGATAGCTGAATTGACTGCAGGACATTGTTACCATCTGGTGTATTTTTTGGTCTATAATCTGTTAACCATCTCGTCACACTATTTTTGACCTTAGTGTATAAAGGATTATAGTGCAGCCAAAAATTGTTGGTTGATTCCGTACAATCTCGTATGCTACGTACGTCAGTGCTGAATGAAAGTGACCCTGTAGTCATCAAAATGTCACACTCTAATCTTCTACTTGTTGTGTTATAAAAACTTCTGTTTTATTCTAACTATGGTAAATATTTTTGTTACGTATTTTCCAACTTTGACTTTTGTAGGTGGAATCTTGAAATGGGAACAACAGTGTAAGATTATCCACATGTGTTCGAGGAAGTACCTCACATATACAACAGAAAACAAGGTGACCTTGACCTCCAATCATGAAGATCCACGCACTGTGTTTCGTCTGCATCCTGTCATAAGGGTAAGCTTTACCTTTGAAATGATAGAAATTTTGGGTAAAGTTTTTCATTTGTCTTTTCTCTTTGAATTGAGTGATCTAGTGTAGATTTTCAGCATATGTTGGAAATATCTTTTAATGTTCCTCAAACAGTTGAAAAGTCTGTATATTAATAAAGTATTGGAAATCTAATATTGGTTTAGGTCACATATCACTATTAGATGCACACAGACTTTTCTCAGAGTTAATGTACAGTAACAAATACTGCATGTTTTGTCACAATGCTATCAGTTTCTCAGAAGTAGATAAGAAATCTTAGATAACACCAGGACAGATTGCCAGAAAATCTTGAATGTGTTTCTGTTAATATTTCCAAAAAAGTCTGATTTTGTCAAGGATGTTTACTAGAAGTTTTTTTATTGACAAATACCCTGCTATAGGTTTTGTTAATTTTCTTTGAAGAATAGAATATAAAGGATCTGGATTATTTTCAGGAATTTCATTCAGACAGTATAGAAAGATACCTATTTAACATCCAAACGATTCCAATTTCAATTTGCAAACTCTGTTAGATATTTTTTTCAAAATAGTTTCATTAAAAAAGAAATAAACATTGCCAAGCAGAAGTTAGTCATGGTCTCATATATACTTGTAAACATATATTCTATAGAGAGTTCACCTGACCATGATTCACTGTCTGTTGATTGACATTACAAACGTTTTATTGATTGTTTTTTTAAAAACAGATTCTGATCAATATATGAAATACAACTCTAATGCATTAACAAATGGATCTGTATAAATTAGAAGTAGTGAAACAGTATTGATACCATGCTCTGATTAACAACTGGAGTAGAAGGTTTGTTTAGTATTATCCAATAAGGTATGGTACAGAAATAACACAGACATTGTCATGTTATACTGGGTATGGTATAGAAATAACACAGACATTGTCATGTTATACTAGGTATGGTACAGAAATAACACAGACATTGTCATGTTATACTAGGTATGATACAGAAATAACACAGACATTGTCATGTTATACTGGGTATGGTATAGAAATAACACAGACATTGTCATGTTATACTAGGTATGGTACAGAAATAACACAGACATTGTCAGGTATGATACAGAAATAACACAGACATTGTCATGTTGTACTAGGTATGGTACAGAAATAACACAGACATTGTCATGTTATACTGGGTATGATACAGAAATAACACAGACATTGTCATGTTGTACTAGGTATGATACAGAAATAACACAGACATTGTCATGTTGTACTAGGTATGATATAGAAATAACACAGACATTGTCATGTTGTACTAGGTATGATACAGAAATAACACAGACATTGTCATGTTGTACTAGGTATGATACAGAAATAACACAGACATTGTCATGTTATACTAGGTATGGTACAGAAATAACACAGACATTGTCATGTTATACTAGGTATGATACAGAAATAACACAGACATTGTCATGTTGTACTAGGTATGATACAGAAATAACACAGACATTGTCATGTTGTACTAGGTATGATACAGAAATAACACAGACATTGTCATGTTGTACTAGGTATGATACAGAAATAACACAGACATTGTCATGTTGTACTAGGTATGATACAGAAATAACACAGACATTGTCATGTTGTACTAGGTATGGTACAGAAATAACAGACATTGTCATGTTATACTAGGTATGGTACAGAAATAACACAGACATCGTTATGTTGTACTAGGTATGATACAGAAATAATACAGACATTGTCATGTTATACTAGGTATGATACAGAAATAACACAGACATTGTCATGTTGTACTAGGTATGATACAGAAATAACACAGACATTGTGATGTTATACTGGGTATGATATAGAAATAACACAGACATTGTCATGTTATACTGGGTATGATATAGAAATAACACAGACATTGTCATGTTATACTGGGTATGATATAGAAATAACACAGACATTGTCATGTTATACTAGGTATGATACAGAAATAACACAGACATTGTCATGTTATACTGGGTATGGTATAGAAATAACACAGACATTGTCATGTTATACTAGGTATGGTACAGAAATAACACAGACATTATCATGTTATACTAGGTATGATACAGAAATAACACAGACGTTGTCATGTTATACTAGGTATGGTACAGAAATAACACTGACGTCATGTTATACTAGGTATGGTACAGAAATAACACAGACATTGTCATGTTATACTAGGTATGATACAGAAATAACACAGACATTGTCATGTTATACTGGGTATGGTATAGAAATAACACAGACATTGTCATGTTATACTAGGTATGATACAGAAATAACACAGACATTGTCATGTTATACTAGGTATGATACAGAAATAACACAGGCATTGTCATGTTATGCTAGGCATGATATAGAAATAACACAGACATTGTCATGTTATACTGGGTATGGTACAGAAATAACACTGACGTCACGTTATACTTAGCTGCCATGGTGTTCTACAATAAGTCTTAGTGTGTGTGGAGGTTTTGTGATAATGAAATAGCACATATTGTCCATTCTACTAAAGGAAAATATGGGTTATTACCAGACATGAGATTATTGTAAGATTCACCATCTTTGATGTGACTACTTGTGACAGAACCCTTAATCATATGTGCCTTGTTCTGTGCAGGAGTACAGAGACAGTAAAAATAATGAATTATTTCAGATAAAATATTCATAATGATTCTGAAGTTATCAGGTACGGCCACCTACTCTCATCATCATATATATTGACTAGTTTACCATGATCAATAAGATGTGTTTTGTCTCATTTGATCCTGAAATATATATTCAGTATTGATTGACAATTTCATTGTCATGTTATCTATAAATCATGTTGGTCATCAGTAAACTTTTGTCTCCAATATTTTATTCAACGTAATGCTTGCTGGTTCTTTTGAAATGTTGATATACATTAACAATATATATTGATTTAACACAAGATCAAGAGATTTCATTGATCTACAATTAGGCGTGAGAAATAAGTACTAAATTTTCATTGTTGAAGAAAATTTCTCCTGGGAATTTAAGAATAAAACAAAAATATCTTCATGTATACAGTGAGTTTTATTTAAACATTATCCTGTCTGACTCAAAGGTGACGGCCAGAATTAAGATCTGTTTAAAATTTATGCCCAGATTTTTGTTTGATATATGATGTCAATTTGGGTTCAAGTATTTAACGGATTATAGTGAAGGTTTCAAGATATCTCAGCATCATTGTCATTTGTTATTCCTGATGAATATAACATTCAGTATCCTCTCAAGTGAATATTTACATATCAATACAATTAAGCTTGCTTTCAATCCAAAACAAGATGCCACAGTCAGAAGCCATCTTGGATTTTCACATACGAATTAATTTTGTTTAAGAAAATTTTTAAGATTGCAATCTAATGAAACTTTCCACAAATACTCAAAATTTACATTGACTGTTAATTGAGTGCATCAGTAAAAAGAAAAAAAAAATGATCAAAATTGTACAGAAAATTAATGAAACAGGGTCTTCTTTTCGGTAATGGCTTTCTGTGGTTTTGCTGTCATCACATGTGTATAATGTGTTTGTAATGGTGGTTTTATAAGTACATATTGACCTATCACAGATTGCAATGATGGTAAGTACTGTCAGCTCGAGGATTGGAGAATAAACTATATCAGAAGCATGGTTGTACATATATAATGTATGTTTGAATTTTTTCATTTTGGTAAAGTTCCAGGAATGACAAATAGATTTTTAAGTCAGCATGTGATTTGTGACAAAATTATTGAGACCTGTTGCTTTTCATGTTAAATGCATTTTAATGACTATCCCTGGTCTGGAAGCATGGTGTAGTAATTAGTGTGTATATTTGAACTCTGAAATGTGATCCTGGTGCAGACAAAAGGTAAAATACAAAATATCTTTGAAAAGTATAGAGTTTTATGAATTTAATAAACACTGAAAACTCTTCTGTATAAATACAATGTTATGGGTACACTGTACCCTTAGTTTTAAAATATGAGGGGAAACACTGTTTGAAATATGCTGAAACGAAAAAAAAACGCAACTTGGAAAATTGTTATTAATTTTGTATTAAATATACATAGCTGTATAAAAATCGCAGAAATAAAAGTGCACCCTGCCTATCACCCTAACCAATGTTCAAAATCAACCAGGTGTGACGAGAAACCTATGCACATCCGGCGCGGTAAAAACATCAAAAACCATGCCTGTACAAACATATGCATTCTTTTTCATTCAAACCAGTATCAATTTATCACTAACATCGAGACACATCATTGCCAATACTTTTGCAAACATTAATTGCTTTTACAATTATGCCACGGTTATCACAGGTTGATAGAGGACGTGCTATTGCAATGCTTATGGCAGGGAGCACGCAACTTCACGTCGCTTGACACTTCAGAGTTCACAAATCGACTATTAGTCGATTAGTTTCACGTTTTAACGCCACAGGAAGAGTCGATGACCGACTGAGATCAGGACGTCCATGCGTAACGTCGCGACGTCAAGACCGGGGTGTTAGGCTGGCACACTTGCGTAACAGGAGGTTAACGGCTGCTGAAACAGCAAGGATTACGATTGGTAATCAAAACCATCGGATTCATCCCCAAACAGTGATCAACAGACTGTGTGAGGTTAATTTGCGTGCAAGGCGACAGTACGTTGGTTTACCACTAACACAGCAACGTCGAGACGTTTTCCTATGAGACATTGGAGGTCCATGCTCTTCACCGATGAATCTCGATTCACGTTACTTCGAGCAGATGGCCGTCAACGTGTGTACCGGCGTGGAGGCGAACGTTTTGCTGACACCTGTGTTTTGGAGCATGACCGATTTGGGGGTGGATCAGTTATGGTTTGGGCGGGAATCTCCCATGGTTTGAAGACACCTTTGGTGATAGTCAATGGGAATTTAACGGCCATACGCTATCGGGATGAGATCCTTAGGCCCCATGTTGTGCTGTTTGTTAGGCAGCATCATCTAACCTTGCAGCAAGATAACGCGAGACCACACGTTGCAAGAGTCTGTAGAGACTTTCTTGCGACACAGAACATTGTTCCTATAGATTGGCCTCCATATAGCCCCAATTTGTCCCCAATCGAGCATTTGTGGGACGAACTAGACAGAAGAATTCGCAATCGCCGTAACTCCACAAATACCCAAATGCACTCGTCCAAGAATGGAATAACATTCCAATACGGACAGTCAATGCCCTGATGAACTCGATGCAACGAAGAATTAGAGATGCTATAGCTGTTCGAGGAGGACACACACAATATTAGGGCACGGTTTCAAAACTGCTGCCATTTCAACTTGGATTCACGTAGGGTACTACCAATCATGACCTTCTAGCGAAGTGATCTTTTCTTAAAAATCTCCAAACATTTAGAGGATGTTACATCAATATTCAATATTAACTATTACATATGAAATCTAGACATAATGCTCACAAGTATTATTTTATTAAACCTACAATTTGAAGTTGCGTTTCTTATTTGTTTCAGTATATGTTCCATATGGTCTCAGGTTAGCGCTGTCATTTGTTAAAGAGGAATATAAGGCCCATCACCACGCGCTGCTGCTACCATTATAGTATAACCTGAATTATTGATACACACCATTTTACCTTAATACTGACAATGCAATCAGAAACGCAGTCTCATGTATGACAGATCAGGTTGTATGAGAACATGATATGCTAGCTGTACCTTTTTTAAAAATTGCTTTTTTTTTTTGTTGCATTTCATTGTCAAATCACATGACTGCCAACATTTATATTTTTTTATCAATCTGAATCAATATGTTGACTAGTCACAACAAATTCTTAAAAAGAAACTGCATTATGACTTTTCAGTTGAATCATGAAGTTGTATATAATGATAGGATGATGATCAGGTATTACTTCTTTAATTAATTAAGCTGATCTGATTATTGATTGTAATTTTCATAATTGATCATGATTATATTAATACTTAAAATTCATATAAAAATTAAACAACACTTGTTTTTTACTTCAAAACATATTTCAGAGTAAAATTTAAATTGATATTTATTTCTTGAAAATGGTGATGATTTGTGGCACCATTATAAAGTGGAATTTTAGCCAATGAGCCTAAATATATATAAGAGTTGTAAAGTAAAGAAATAACATCAAAATATTTTAATCTGATTATCTTCAGAGTTTGTAGTGTATATTTGTATTGATTGAGTTTCATGTTTGACACTGTGTATGGGTAGATCATGTTAACGTATTTGCCAAGTCTTTTAAGACAAACATTTCAATTTAGAAAGCAGGAACATTATTCTATAATTCTAAGCATGTGCATGTTTTAATTGTTCAAATGTTGATGCGTTCTGTAACAGTGAGAATGACTACATTAATAAAATATTTAATGACGTGATAGGACATTTGCATGACTTGACTAAATATCAGTTCTACATCATCCTAATGAAACAGCTACTCTGAATTGTTGGAATGTTGCCATTATCATGTCATTGAGTCATGACAATATCTCCTTGTCATGAAAATAATGTGTTGTTTCTAGGATTTGAATATATTACCTTGACCCACATTCAATGTCACTGAGGTGGAAAGCTTTTGAAAGGACTTTATAGAATATAGCAATATGAAGTTTGATCATATCCATATCATATGTTTTCTGTAACGTCAAAAATGACACCTGTGAAAACACCTCAATTGCCAGCATATATTGTGGCTACATTCTCTGTTAAAGGAAAGTGAAAAACTTATTTAATTTTTAAAATGATGTCCCTTTTATGAGTTATCTCCCCTTTGTTATTCCCACTTCAAATATCAAACAATATAGATTGCAATAATGGTAAGCACTGTCAGATTGCTGAGCAATGAGAATCAGGTATTTGTTAGGCATGGTAATATATGTTTTACCATTTGGTTCATTTCTTAAAGAACTGATATGAAAAATTCATAAAAAATCAGCTTAGAATTTAATTATGTAACAATGTTTTTTAATGAATGATATCTTATATGTTAAATGTGTGTTATGATAAGTTCACGTCAGTCAGATATGGATTACAAAGGATGTATTTGAGTCCAGAGTGATCTACACCATCTGAGGCAGAAATACAAATTTGAACAAAAGTCTCTGAGAAGATTTGTTAAGTGTTTCTGTGTTTGATAAATTATAACTTATCGTTAAAAGCTACCAGTATTTGTGTAAGATAGAGCTTGCAAAAGTTATTTCAGGACAGACAAGTCTGACAATTTATAGTGTATGCATGTCTTGAAGCATGAATTATATCAGTTGTCTCCCTTGAAAATAAAATGGCTGTTCTATTAATTAGTAATAAGCATGTCATCTTGTTGAGATATGGCATGTTGATAGCTATTAAAACTGAATGCTTACAACTTACTGTTACAATTGGTTATTATAGGTACTATAGTCTGTAGAGAATAAAATTTAACCAAACAAAACAAAGAAATGAAAGTAAATTGAAATGAAAGGATCTTCAAATTTCAGTTAGAATGTTTCCTTGTATATATTGATGGATATTCGTCTTTGAATTGACTGTAGGAGTTTTATAGTTTCTAAGTGTTTCGAGGTCATTTAAACATAGCTTGCCAAGTCATCTCAGACAGATCAGGAACCGTACACATACATGGACAGCCAGGGTCATTTTGATGAGCAGTCTCCTTGTAGGATCTGAGAACTACCTCACTAAACAATATGTGATAGGTCTGGCACATGTCATCCAGAGCAGTTAGGCGGAGTGTTCTGCCCATGTACACGACCATGACAGCAGAGACCACCCTTTTCTCAGATTCCTGAGAAGCACAAACTGCCTCTTGTAGGGAATGTCACATCACACAGCTCTATCTTCTTGGTTCTGATATCACTCGGGCCTTGTTGACAGCAATGTATGCTATTAAGTTTGTTTGCTGGGTTTCTTGACCTTTAAACAAGCTGGATCATTTTAAGTCAGGGTCCCCTTCTAGTAGCTGGTGGCTACCTCACTGAACAACATACGGGAGGCCAGTTTCATGCAATCTGAAGCAATAAGGGTAGAGATCTTTTCCAGGGACACAACATGTCAGCACAAATCAATATGCCCTTCAGCTTCCTGAAAAACTGCCAAAGGTTGGGATCGTCACACCATGCATATCAGAACTTCCTCTGACACTACGTAGGTCAACTGATCTATCATTGCTCCCTATCAATGACTAAAAAGGATATTACATAGATCGCGATTTTTATGTAAACCATGTTTTATAGATTAAATACACATTGTTCCCCTCATGAATCATTAGCCTTCGATTATTACAGAAGACCAAGGGAGACAAATGTTAAACTACTTTGTATAAATATTTTTATGTTGTAAGCAATAGCGGTTTTGTTGAGCCTCCAGAACTTCAACTTATTATTTACATATTGAATATATGAAAAATTGTACTTGATCTTCCACAGGAGAATGATGACATACCGATAGACAGTTATTGTCGGATAGAACATGTGGTCAGTGGTTACTGGCTCCACGCCGTCATGGGTAAGTCCTCACAGCTTAGTAGTCAACAAGTAGGATGTAGTGGTCAGTAGGTACTGGCACCACGCCGTTATGGGTAAGTCCTTACAGCTTAGTAAACAACAAGTAGTATGTAGTGGTCAGTAGGTACTGGCTCCACACTGTTATGGGTAAGTCCTCACAGCTTAGTAAACAACAAGTAGTATGTAGTGGTCAGTAGGTACTGGCTCCACACTGTTATGGGTAAGTGGTTCCCGGTACTTTCTTCATATCTTTATGGAAAATTGCAAGTCCTTCATTTACAGCTTTGAAAACAACTAGCAAGAAGATAGTGATTGATCTTATTCTATGTCCATATAGCCAACAGCTTACCTTTGTGTCTAAGAGATGGATTGGCTTATTAGAGAAGAATGAGATAACATTTGTTGATATTTCAAGAACAATGATATTATACAGATTGCATTGGTGAATTATCAAGCCTGTGACCCTTACTACATCGGACATTATTTATTTATATTTTTACAATCTTTAATTAAGACATAAAGACGAAAAAACGAACTTGGTCATCAGTTAGACATGATTTTAGGATGAAGTGGTTTCCTTTGGCTATTTTGATTTGATTTAATGAAAAAATCAACAAGTTACATCACCTTTTTTCAATTTTATTGATCTTCATTTTCAGCTGAGTACAAAAGGAAGCAAGAAACAACATCCACAGACACCAAGGCCATGGGGTCTCTCAAATGGAGCTCTGCTCAACTCAAACAGGTAGATATTGGGGATATTTAATGACGGACACATTTCTCTACATTAGTATACAACATTACACTACTGGACATGTTTACAATGCATTGTAACAACACACATTCGCAAAGACAGTTTCTTCAGATAAAGCATTGTGAAATTTTTATCTAATGCAGATGCAGGTTACAGGCAGAATTAAAATTTAATATGTTAATAGCCCATTGCTAACAATTACTGCCTAACCCCCTTCCTTCTTGCTACCCCCTCCCAGATAATTATTTGAACTTTTCATACCTTGACCTGTGGTAGAGGGATCCATATAACCTTGTGTTACCTGATTAATGAAAACCTGAACTCATGTCTATATCCTGGCTGGGGAATTTGTAATAGAATTTCTTACCAATCATAACCTTCCTGCAAACAGTGAATATCCATGTCCTAAGTAAGCGTCTCTTCATTTTACTCCTCCTGTTTGGTACTGTCCATTCTTAAATGACATTAACATTGGTTTATGAGTCACCATGCAGGATTGCACCAGACAGTCTAATTGACATCTGGATGGAGTAAAATTTCTTTACAAGATTTTGGTGGTCATCGGTCAAGGTTAAAGGGTCACAGTTGACCACTTATAAAAAAACTTGTGTATAAGATATGACATGAATCCCTCAACAGGGTTTGTCCATATTCAAACCATATAATATAATATTCTACTCCCGATTATATTTTGTTTGTCAATGGTCAAGGTTACAAGGTCAAAGGCCTTACAATGTCAATGTTGAAAATTAAAAGATCAGGGGATGGGGGTTATGTCTATGTGAGCCAAAGGTTACATTGTTTTTTTATTCAATATGTTAAAATTACAAGTCCAAACATAAAATATAATTTAAAATTTTTTTTTATGCTTTTACTTATAAATTGTTTTATCTTTTAGTAGGCTACAATGCTTCTTAACATTTTCAGTTTTTACAAGGCAGTTTTTGTTTAGTTACATGATAAAATCGTGACATGATCCCAGTAATAATGTGTGATAGAATTAATATACAATAGAATTACTAGGCCATGTAGCTAGTGAGCTAGATCAGCATGTCTTTTACTGCTAGTAAAATCTATTTGATGCACAGAAAAACCTTGTTATACTGTTGGTGCTTATTTCACCATTTTGGCTTGATAAAGGGGTTTGATGAGGAGAATATGAATATGAATGCATAGAAACTAAAGAGGGAAAAAAAATTGTATAAGAAAAAGGGCAATTACATGAAAATTTTGCGTTATGGAAAAAAATTGGTTGGAATTTTACTGTAGTGTGTTGGATTAGTGGGGGTGCAGGGTTCAAAGTTTTTTTTGTAGTGAAAAAGAGGGATGATAATTTCTAATTGTGAAATAAAGGCATTATATCAAGGTTTTACTGTATACAACATTATCTTAACATAGGTTTTTTGCGTCTGTTCTTTTTAATTGATTTTTTTGTGATTTCACTTATTAATCATTATACTGACTCGATGGTAAAACACATCTACCAGTGTTACATGGATCTCACATATTATATTTTGTCGGTATGATTGTAATCAATCAGATTATTTCTCAAATGTCTAGGAAAAAGCGCAATTACTACAAGTAAGCATGTTTTCAGAAACTTTTCTCTGTTAATCATTTCACACTTTTGTCTGGTTCTGTAACAAATCCCCTAATCCTCACTTCTACTGTATCTTAGTAGGAATTTGATACCCTCTTCTCTGAAATCTATTTTAATTTCAGTTGGTTTATCGGATAAAGTTTGGTTTAAAGTGTCCAATTAAAACACCATAAAGATGCTTTATTGTACTTAATATATTGGTATAATCTGTTGTGGGAAAAATTTTGTGGAAAAATAAATCCATGGAGGTGAGGGACTTGTACATGTTTTGCAGTGCTCTGCTTTATTTATCTGCTTTAATTACATTAACCTCATTAGAAAGGATTAAAACTATGAAAATTTCCAATACCAGGGCTCTCGCACCCAATTTTGGGACTGGGGCCCGGGGCCCTTGTAATTGGGAAAAATAATGTTGTTTTCCTTAGAATTGGGAAAACTTGGGGTCTAAATTGGGAAAAAAAGATACTTTTTTGCATTGGGAATGGGGCCGAATATCGGCCCGAAATCTGGCAGATCGAGAGCCCTGAATACATCTATTTAACTTTCCTATTCTGCTCGACAGGTTCCGAGATTTTATTGTATCATGACAATGATGCATGCCAAACTGGGACAGTTATGATATTTAAAAGTATTATTTGGAAAAAAAGACAAATTTCAGATGAAATTTGTGATTGCTTTATAAATATTTGCTGGATATTGTACCATATAGTAAGCTCTTAATGTCATAGATTTAAATAATCATAGATAATTTGAAAGGATATTAATGAAATTTTTAATTGAATAGAATTTGATTAAAGTAGACCATTTTAATATTTTGAAAAAAACCTTCCTTTAGATACAGAATATTTTACAAGAAGGTGTGTGTTATCACTTTCACAAATTATAAATCAAAAGTTTGTGAATTATGGTGTTTCCTACACAGTCACAAAATTGTTTTGGTTTCCCCATGTATAATGGTTTGCTGTAATATTAATCCTCACTCCACAGCTGATCTTCCCTTCTGATGTGTCATTTTCTCAATATATATATTTGATATCAATGTTCAATCAGATTTTTTTAAAACTTGAATCTTTAAGAAATTTGTTCATTCCATTAAACTGCATATATGACAAACTCCTAAAATCAATAATTAATTAAAAAATGCCTTTTTCGAACAAAATGGCAGGCTTATTTAATTACTGAATTCAGAGTTGTCATTGGGAAACTGATAAAGCAGAGGCTGGGCTTATTACTGAGCACAATTTATCACTAGAAAGATAGCGGTATTTGTTTTATATTGTTACAAGTCACTGAATCATGGGACTCAAGTTCATATACATATAAATAATAAAACAACTACCCACACTATATTTTTCTTTGAAGACTCCATAAAAGCACTTTTCCTGTGCATACTGCATTTAGTAAATTACCTTGGTTCACTCTAAAATATCAATTAAGTTCAAGTAGTAAAAATGCATACCAGAAGTAATAGCCTTTCGCAATGTATCATTAATGGTTGGTCTGTGAGTCAAGGGCAATTACGACAATAGAGTTGTAGCCATCGATATAAACCTGATGGGATACACAGCTAATGCCTGGCCACCATTATCATTTCTTCCTCTTAACCTAAACACCAGGTTCTAGTTAATCTCTTGTCATTACAGGAAAACAGTAACATGTCATTTTCTGGTTTTATTGCTTGTTGATTAAAACGATGTTGATTTGTGACAGGAATTCAGAATTATAGACAAGAATATTGTTGTTGACAATTATGTAGCACGTTGACCAATATAATGTTGATATCAGGAATCTCTTAATGAATAGTATAGGAATGTAAACAAAATCATGAAATGGCAGATGTTTTTATAAATTCTGTATTCACAGATTTTATAGGAAATAATATTGCAAGATCAGACCTACAATTTTAATGATATAGAGGCTGTAGGCCTTGGTGATGTATGCATGAGATAGAGGTACGTTGTGAAGGATCAGAAAAACTAGGTCAAAGAATTTTTTGAGAAGTTAGAAGTAGCTATTTTGTATTGTTCCTGTATGTCTTTAATTGCAATTAGATAAATGTGCATTGTAGTCATGTTATTATTACATAACATCTGTTGTTGTGTTCATGGTAGACTGGGAAGAAGAAGAAAGGCAAAGTAAGTCAACCACTTCATCGTAGTCCATTTGTTGTTTTACAAAACTGATGAAAAAAAACGTTTTGTGTTTGTTATTTATGTTTTTAGAAGATCTTTCCGTTTTATTTATTTGATAATTAGTTCTGTGCTGTTTGTTTTTAGTTTCATGCAATTTTGTTTCCAAATTGACCAATTATGAAATTCCATTTTTCTTTCTTTCATTATTTTAGTGCTGAAATTTTAACATAAAAAGAAGAATAAAAGTCACATCCAAAGGTTCTTATTTTAAAAATTTGAATAGTTCTATTAAAAGTTAGATTATGTCTATTCAAATATTCCATTTGAGGAAGTTTTGGCCAGTTGGTAGAAATTTTGAACTTTAATTCACATCAGAACAGACTTGGAAAAATTATTTTGTTCCAAATTTGGTTACCATATTTCTGCAAGACGTTCAGTTTTGGCAGGTACAGGTTTTGTTAAAAATATAGATAAACCAAACTTATTGTAATGATTTATCAAAGTATCATAGGCAGCCAACATGAGACTTTTCATTGTTCTGTTGCCTTTAAAGTATTGCTGTAGAACATGTCTTATTTTCAGTCATCTGGTAATGATGTTTAAAGGGAAGTGGTAGACATATTCTAAAGAAGCCAGTCATTATACAGTAATGATTCTATCATCAGTTGTCGGCATGTGTGTTTAATAAAAAATTCTCCAAGTCTGAAATTTACAGATCTTAAATGATTGGCACAAGTCAGTATCATCAGAAATTAACCTTTGAAAGTATGAATTTTCTTTTTTAAAAACATGATGTGAGTTTGCATTTTCAAACTTTTCGTTTATAAAGGTTTAGTGTGTGATGTTGTTCAAATATGTGATATGTGTATTAAAATATCTATGGTTAGGTCAGATTGAATGATTAAATTTGTGCAATTTTATCCAATACAAAATGTTTTTTAAAGATAAAGATTCAATATTATAGCGACAAATCATCATTACTGCTCAAAGTTTAACTGCATAATTACTTCATATACAAATTTGTTTAAACAAAGGATTTATAACTGTATCTGTATTTCAGTGTAGATATGGCGATAATAAAACAGAACCTGTGTACTGTAACATTACATAGGGGCAATTAACTTGTCTCATCTGACATCTGAAATACACATCAAGAATGGTTAAACAGAATGTCCGATTACACTTTTTTTAAACTTTCAAAATGAGAAATTAGTGCAGCCTTATGGACTTTCATACAGATTGTGTCAATAATCATTTGTTTATAACATATGTAACAGAGGATTGCTGTGTTCGTCATTAGAAGTTGAGAAATTGAAATACAACAATTAGTTGAATTACTTTTCTCTTCTTTGTTCAAAGCCTATTTAAGTAATTTGCTGAAATCTTATTTTTATTGGAATCTGATTGTCAATTATTAACAATTTTGTGGTCATTAGTGGCCATGTTGAAATTTTGCATTAGAAATGTTATTAGTGCAACAACTGATAGTTAGGCTATGGTTAAAAAAAAACAGGTTTTCTGGAAACAGCACAAAAGAAAATTTTGAAAAATCTTTTACCACTGAAAGTTCAATATTTGGCAGATAAGAAAATACCATTTGAATACAAGTGCAACTTAAACATTTAAAAAGGGTTTTCATAGTCCAAATTATTCTGTCATCCTTTCCTATATTGGTATGGCGTCCACTCCAGATCGATAGACCTTCAGGATAATTTAGACTTAGGTTTTCCATTAATTAAAATTTAACCTTGATTTCTTATCTTGGAGGATATTCTGCTGTTTGATTAAGAGTTTGCCTATGTTCTCTGGCATCATTTGTTGTCAATGGCTTTAATGATAACCCATAATGATTTTCTCATTGTTATCAGAAAGTAAAAGGCGTACGATTATATGTGAGTGAAATGCATCTGTTATAATTATCTCAACGTTTTGCCAGTTGGCATGTTTAAAATACATTTTCAACAGAAAATGCATGCCACATATCTTGTTTCTACAATATTTTTATAATTGTTCATGTCCAGCCAATCGTTTTGTTCACAGAATTAATGTAAATATTTTTCATTTTCTTTAAGAATCTTTCATACATCATTTTCAAAAGATATTGTCTTGTCAGTGTAGATCTCTTAAAACTCCCTTTAAGCACAAACTTTTCTTATCGTCAATTTCAAATACATTGTTTTGCACTTTTCATTATGAATATCTAAAGTTTCACATTTAAAATTTTCCCTAGAAGTTTTCTCTTTTGTTTTTTTCTAAACGTTGTACCACTATAAATACACAGACTGGTTAAGATTTTGCACTGTCTACAACTAAATGTAAGACGTGTTTGAAGTAATCTGTTTGTCTCTTTTATTTTGATGAAAAAGGATCCCAAAATACAGGTATAGTGACGTGATGCTGTGACCCTGCCGTTTTGTTAGATCATGATCACCCACATTTTAGTTCAAGTTTTCCTGATCTTGATTTCTGCTTTGTTGTTGTTAGTTTTTTTTTGTCCCAGCTTTTAATGCTTTGAGAAAGGAACATTTTCAGTGTACATTTTCAATACTTTGTCTCCCTTTGTAAGAAGAGAACTAAGCTCTAGTCGTATGGTGATACATTCTTATTCAGTATGATATCACATAAAGCTTAGCCGCATATCTACAAACAAGTAGATGTTAGGCAGTTGTCATAAGAACAGTAAGTTTTCATTGGAAGGCCTAGCAGGACAGTCAGTGACATGACTTAGTTACACGACAGTTTGATTGGTAACCTGGATAATTGTCATAGAGAAACTAGACAGCTGTCAATTAGTAACAAGGCAGTTGTCAGTAACATGGCTTAGTAACATGACAGTTTGATTAGTAACCTGGATAATTGTCATTTAGTAATATGACTGTTGTCATTTAGTAACAAGACAGTTGTCAGTAGCAGGACTTAGTAATACAACAGTGTGATTAGTAACTGAATAATTGTCATATAGTAACATGACAGTTGTCATTTAGTAACAAGGTAGTTGTCAGTAACAGGACTTAATAACATGACTGTTTGATTGGTAACTGAATAATTGTCATATAGTAACATGACAGTTGTCATTTAGTAACAAGACAGTTGTCAGTAACAGGACTTAATAACATGACAGTTTGATTGGTAACTGAATAATTGTCATATAGTAACATGACAGTTGTCATTTAGTAACAAGGTGGTTGTCAGTAACATGACTTAGTTACATGACAGTTTGGTTGGTAACTGGATAATTGTCATAGAGAAACTAGACAGCTGTCATTTCGTAACAAGGCAGTTGTCATTTAGTAACAAGGCAGTTGTCAGTAACAGGACTTAGTAACATGACAGTTTGATTGGTAACTGGATAATTGTCATATAGTAACATGACAGTTGTCATTTAGTAACAAGGTGGTTGTCAGTAACATGACTTAGTTACATGACAGTTTGATTGGTAACTGGATAATTGTCATAGAGAAACTAGACAGCTGTCATTTAATAACAAGGCAGTTGTCAGTAACAGGACTTAGTAACATGATAGTTTGGTCGGTAACTGGGTCATTGTCATATAGTAACACAACAGTTGTCAGTAATAGGACTTTGTTACAGGACAATTGTCATTTAGAAACCAGATTTTTGTAGTTCTAATAAGATCATTGTCTTAAATAGCAACAGAAACTGGTTGCTATAGTAACAATGGCAACACTTTCATGACTTTTCTGATTGTTAAATGTGTTGTTTTTAGTCGTTCTTGCAACTCAGATTTGGGTGTAAATTTTGAGAAATATTAAGGTATCTTCATTCAACTAGAATTTGTAGTATGTGATAGCTGTATCTTATATGTATGGCAAAATAGGTCATTGTGACCTGCATCTGAAGGTCAGACATGAAATATAATAGATATTGAAGCTGATTAGGGAAACTGAAGGATAACTACATCACCATCAATCTATTCCAAATACCATCCACTTTAGACAGAAACTAGGTTCTGTGAATAGTTTGAAGCTAGATAAGAACGTGATTATTGGTAGTCCAATATCAGATGAAGGTTCTCAAGTTTTTCTTTCTCTATCACAACATTTTTTGTTTTTAGATTTCCCATATTTTAGATGTGTTGATGTTAGATTTCCAGTGATTAATGTAAACAAGATATTGTTGTTTGTATCCAAGGTAAATACTTTTACAAATAAATAGTAAAAATTGTTGAAATTCTTTATACCTTTCTGATTTCAACATAAACATACTCAATATATTTTGTGAATATTTCTAACCTAATTTCATTTTTGTTATGAAAACATTTTATTTCAAATGTTATTTCTTTTTAGAATCAGTAATAGTGATAAATTAATTTATGATAAGGATGTCAACTTTTTTTGCCGTATTCTAATGTTTTAAACATGCGTGATTAGTTTTGATTAGAGTCCTTTGCTGTATATTAAGCCCTATATAATAGATATAGCACATGCATTCTGGAAATCATTTAAATGTAGGAAACATGTTCTGATATGAATTTACTATCCTTAAACTAAGAATGACAAATGTTCAGTTAAAAGTTTTAATTGTTCCATAGTATATATTGGCTGGCTATCATCTCAGCTGCATGATGTAAGATTTACAGAAATAAGATTCCACTTCACTATCTGTTTATATTAGTTCATAATTGTGCATGATACGCAGATATCTTCTGTCTAAACTGTGTGAGATGTGTGTGTAAATGTGGGTAAAGTGTGCTGTGTCATGTTTTTTTTTATATTTGTTCCACAATAAGTCTAAGGTGCCATGAATTTAACCCAATTCTTTGTCAGGGAAGGGGTTTATTAAAGGACAATGAAACAGCATGGGTTTGTAACAATATCAAAAATCAATACATAAATGGTGGGCTTATTACAGGACAATGAAACAGCATGGGATTGTAACCATATTGAAAGCAGATATATATAGGATGGGCTTATTACAGGACAATGAAACAGCATGGGTTTGTAACCATATTGAAAGCCAGTATATATAAGGTGGGCTTATTACAGGACAATGAAACAGCATGGGTTTGTAACCATATTGAAAGCAGATATATATAGGATGGGCTTATTACAGGACAATGAAACAGCATGGGTTTGTAACCATATTGAAAGCCAGTATATATAGGGTGGGCTTATTACCAGGCAATGGCTTATTGTTGGATAAATATGATAGTGATATGAATATGATTTTATGTTTTCTGGAATACATTGTGATTTAATTGGTGTATTAATGTAAGATTTCTTGGCCTGGATAATTATACAACATCTGTATCTTTATGTATTATCTGTTACTCTGAACTTGTTTGTATCATATCTTCATGTATCTCTTCTCCTGTCATACTTTTATTTTAGTCCTTTTCATTTTTCAATGTTGCATGATGACTCAATGTGTCAAACTGGAATTTAGACACTGGTGCTGTCTTCATATATCTTAAATATTTAGTTCCTTACTTCATCAAAAACACCTAGACTTTATATTGAAGAGGAACAACTTTCTGCTCAGAAATGTTGATATAATACTGTCAATTATGCTTTTCTAATTTGTTCAGTTTTACTGAAATCTTTAAGAGAAGGGGATGTGGTATTCACAAAAGTTATGAAACAGACTATAGTTTTCTTTACCTCTACATAGTATTGATTTCATCATCATAGTGTCTGTTTAATGTTAATGCATCCAAAAAAATAAACCAATACTAGAACCCCCTGGAAATATTGACATACTTTTACAGTGTATTGCTGTGAGATAGGAAAATCCTACTGAAATATCAAAACACCTTTATTTGCTGTGTCCTGTAAATGAAGAACTTTCTGATAATTAAAATGTCCCTGACCTAATTACGGTCTATAAATATACTGCAGTGAGATATATAAATCCCTAGAAAATGTCATGTTACCCTTACAGAGTTCTATTGTAAAATAGAAATTTTGTGAAAACCAAAATGTTCCTTTACTGATAATACTGCTGTGAGATTGTAAGGAAAACTAGTAGCGATAAAAGAAAGAAAATGAACCAAGGAAACTCTACTGGGGATGGCTAGGTGTTGTGTGTACCCACTAACATCTTCATTACTAATTATTCTATCATTTTAAATTTCAGGAAGAAAATCACATATTTATCTTTATATTCATAAAATTAATGATTATATCATTGTAGTTTTACCTCAATCATTTGATTAAGAATTAAGATTGCTCATAAATCTCAGGTTGTATACATGTATTGCATATGTATTTAATCACAGTGAATGGTGATATATATTTTTTCTAAATGAACTGTTACATATTGCTTGCTGTAAACATTTTTATATTGGCACAATCAAATTTTACCACAATATGATTTTGAACGAAGTGCAAAGATTAATTTAAACACTGCAATAATTTGCTGTATTAATGACTTACTGAAGTAACAGGGTACTTATATCTTTTCCAGGAAAAGTGTTATTGAAGTATAAGATTACCAGTGATATTCATATGTTTACGTAAACAATCCTTTGTTGTTTTATGATCTTTGTATTGCATGAGGCAGAAAAGTTTTTTTCCTCTGAATGAAGTTTAGAAGATGCATGGTTTTGAATTTAGTGACAAATAAAATTGAGGTTAAAGATTATACAATGATATTTACATTGAATAATATAAAAAGTTATGATCAAGCTGACTTTTTTTAGGATGTAATTTTCAGACCTAAGTATTAAAAATTTAACAACATACTAAAATTCAATTCACAATTTAAGGTAGTTTCATTTAGACTGTGTTTACTTTGAATACAAATCATAATTTGTGTATGAGTGTGATTACAGTCTGTTTACTGCTGTTTTGGATATCTACCGGGTCTTGTAATTTGTGTATGAGTGTAGTTATACTGTTTACTGCTATTTTTGATATTTATTGTAATTTGTGTATGGGTGTGGTTACAGGTGGGGGCCATTCCAGAGAAGCAGTATGATGATGCTTTTACCATACAGTCAGTGGAACCAGAGCTAGTGGAGATATTTAACTACATGGCTGGAATGGTGCCCTTCATACAGAAACTTGTCAAGGATGTAAGTGCTTTGTTGTGTATGAAAATTGTTATCGGATAACTTTGACAACTTTGACTGTTTTAATTTTGCAATAAGCCCAGCAGGCCAGTGCCACATTTTTCTTCTTTGTTGATTACCTGGTGAACAGCCAGGGTCATTTTGAGGTAGGGTCCCTTATAATTACTAGAATTGATGGCTACCCCCTTGTAAAAGATGTGTGAGAAGTGTTGCATTCCCTCCCAGGTAAAATGTCGTGCATAAAAACGCAACTACAGCAGTGCAGACCTGTCCATTTCTCAGTCTCCTGGAAAACACAAACTGACTGGGGTAGAAAGCATCATATCACACAGCTGATTTTCAGAGTTTTCGTAATCCTATGCTTTACCAAGGGCTTATTTCAGGACTTTGTAAAGAATTCTGATTTTTGATTTTGCTGAATAGCTTTATACATGTATACAGTTGGGCTTATTATCAGACATGGGCTTATTGTCCAATAAATATGGTGAGAATTCAAGTTTGACCTAGACCTTAAAATAAAGTGAACATTATTGCCAATATGTCTTAGATGCAATTTTGACTTTGAATTTAGAAAAATTGACTTGTATACCTTGAAGTTTATTTTCATTTTGCTCTATTCTACATTATCGTAAAGAGTGAAATGAAACCACGAAAAAATAATTACTTTGGAAAATAAACACATCCTTTAAGATTGAAGATTTTCATAAAACCACTGAAACAGAAAATGCAATCTTTACAGTATATTACAAGATGTACAGAGCTACATTAACTTGGTCAGTAGAATATCAAATTAATCTAATCAGAAATGAAGAGCTGAGGTGTTAGTTTAATACTGATCCCTGCCCAGGATAGTTTGAGTTTCAAAGATTAGTCAATACTACTATGGTTTAATCCTTGCGGCATCTTACCCTAATTGGTCTGGATAACATGAAATGTGCCTCCTGCATGATGTTCAGTGAAGTAGCCACCAGTCTCAAGGAGGTCCTGCCTGAAAATGATCTTTGCTAGGGAACTAAAACTAGCCAACAAACAAACACTTTCTGTTGTTATGAAATTGAATAAAGAAGGGTTTCTGTTTCCATTCCCTAACCAGAGATGATTATAATCCATACTAAATTAGGTGTCCAATTGTGTCATTTAAATTTGTACAAAATACATCTGTTTGTAGACTATCCATTGATTGTCAGTTTTATTCGCAGGCATGAAGGGACACATGAATATTTAAGGACATGTCAAAAGCCTGCTCTAGTTTCTGTTTTTACTGTTGCTAAGGATGTTGAATATTTTATCACAAATAGACATGAGACATAGTTGCTCTATATTAGTAGAATGGTATTTAGGTGACTGGAAACAACTAATTGGACATAATGTCACTGAATATCAGCTCGGCACAGCTTCTGGAGTAAATTAATATATATATATTTATACATATACATGTATTCCCAAGAGGTACAATACCTTTACTGTCAATATTCAGGTAGCCATTAGCTTCTTCAACACTCTCTGACAATATCAATAGAACCATCATTTTTGTATAATGATACATGAATTTGTAGTATTAAACATGTTTATGCCCTAATCATTTTATTAGGGATCATATAGTGTTGTCCATATTTGTCCATTTGCCTGTCTTGTTTTGAGTCAATGTTTTATCTCAAGAACCTTATCGTTAATGTTTTTTACATAGAAATAAAAACATTAATGTATTACCCACTTTTTTTTTTCATTTTGAAGAGTAATGTTATATACTGTTTTATGTTATAAGCCCCATATTTTTTTTCAAATCATGCCATCTAGATATGCTGTAGCAGGACAGTACTAAATAGGGATGAGGGGGCCCATAGACTTGCCTGATTACACTGTATATCTAAGTACAAATACACTTCACATCGGTACTTTGTCTGATAAACTATGATAAAGTCACATAAAGTTTTTAAATGGTTGTGATGTAAGAACATCTATTTAGTATGTATTACCAATCAGAAGAAAGTGTTCCCAGAAGACTTTGTTCTTCACGCCGAACAAAAAGGAAGATGTTAGTGTTAGTTACAGATATTCTTTAAAAATATTGTGTGATATTTTTTTACAGAAAAACAGTGGTTTGACATTGAACGCTAAAATGGCCCACGATGCTCTCACTGTAAGTAAAACTGGATTTGACCTGTAAAATATTATGATACATTATTTGTATCATTGGTCTATCAGGCTTTGATTTCTTTTATTAATACATCAAACCTCATTATAAAAGCAAATGAAAAGTGACCTTTATATAAGAGGTTCAACTACCATGAAACGTATTACATTGGGACACGAAACCAGTGGCCTTAATACAGAGGTTGTCTTATACAGAGGTGGCCTTCAAGGCATGTTTGACTACAATTTATGGTATTTTTCTTTAATTGTAACTGATTTACATTTTGTAATTTGAAATAAACTTGTATAAAATATTCATGCTATTATAAAACTGTTATGTTAGGTAAAAAATACAATATTTTGATGGATACTTTCTTGGTTGAATATTTCAGGCCTTGTCTGAGATGAGAGAATTCATGATAGTCAACAGTGTGCCAAGCAAGAAACGTCAAAAACTCATGAGGAATCTCCGGGTACCTAGATTTTATTGTTGAATTTCTTACTTCTGTAAAAATATGACTTTGCTGTAGTTCACTTTGAAAGTTGGATGCTGTTAGCATCATGAAAATTCACTCTCTTTTGTATCAGGTGAAAGGCCACCTAGTGACTGCAGCAAAATTTCAGAACACAGTTTATATTGGTTAAGTTTTAATGTGAACATCAAACACCAAAATGTACCAAAAGATGGATGCCATTATTTATTATAAAACAGAGTTGAAAAATTTACGCGGATCGGCGGATTTCCGCCTTTTTCATGACAAATTTGGTCATTTTTGAGATCGATGCAAATCCGGTGAGAAAATTTCAGGGGTGAGGGGGTTAGGTATGTCTTGATGATGCATTTTATTTAAAGCAATCTTCATCAACTTCGTTCTTAAATCCTTCGATTTATATGCCCTTATAAACTGTAGAATTAAACATCGAGCAGTTACGAGCACCGAGTTTCCGGTATTGGCAAATCGATAATACAAAGGAAGATAATTCATGCATCAGTCGAACGTTTGAAAGCTATAGTTGAATTACAACAGAGATGAAAAATTTCCGCCGATCGGCTGATTTCGCCTTTTCCAATGCCAGCCACTTTCATCTCTGTGTAAAAAGTCTTTGATGATATTTGAATTTTGTTAATGTTTGATGAAGATCGTGTATATCTAGGATACAGTCATGCTTAAGAAACTATGTTTTCACAACTCTTCCAAAGGTTGAGCATCAATATTAGGACTCAAATGTCAACTGCAAATAAAGTTTGTACAATTTAAGATGTACTGTAAAATAGTTTATTTTTGTGGAGCTTGATTTCGTGGATAAACCCTTGCTAAAAAATCTTCTAGTACTTTAATCATGTTAACTTTCATCTGTTTATCATTTTATGGACATACAGTTTCATGGATCTGAGTACTGTTGAATTAAATGAAAATGAATCCCCTACAAAAGTTAATGATTTTAAGGCATCACATCAACTTAATTGTTAGGGAGGATTTTCAACTAGTATATGTTTCCAGGGGTTATTACAATGCTGACTGTTGGCTAATCATTGTCAATACCAGTATACAATCAGTACTGTATTCAGTTACTGAAAGCAGAGTTAACGTACAGTATTAGTGCTATATTTTATAAAAATTGGATCTTTTTTAGATATATGTGTTCTGTATTGTAGATTGTGGAGTTATTGGTACAACTGTTACAGACCCCATTTAGAGGAAGTCCTGACCAGATGTATGTATCTGTAGGGTTTAAATGGCTCAGATGTAACAATATTTAAAACATTAAACTCTATTTTTTTAATATTCACTTGGCAGTATCAGCTGTACCTAATAATACATAAACTCTATTTCTTTAATATTCATTTCCGTAGTTATTATTTGTTGTTGATGTTTATTAGGCATTGTTGAGAAGCATCAAAACAAATAAACTGAAAACATTTGACTTGATCTCGACTTTAAGCCATTCAGGAATAGGAAATACTTTCTGATAATTGGCTCGTTATGAGCCTTTCAAGAAAAATAGTAAACATTCAAAAGTCAAAAGATTTTCAAAAGTTTAAAAATTTTACTTAGTGATTACTTAATGAAACTGTGTTTCTTGCCCTTACAGTCACCTGACACGGATCTTTGTGGAAGCCTATGATGTCCTGTACACCTACTTGATGGGTGACAGCAGGAAGAATGAACTCTATATTGCAAAGTACATTGACTTCTTCCTCTCACAATTTGAGTACAAGGAGGTAGGTCGTACTACAAGCACCTGGCTACTACTATGAAAGTTGGTTCAGAAGTTGAAATACTGTACAGCTACTTTTATTGGTCGGGATATTTTCACTTTTTTGCTGAACATCACCATGATCACAAAAAATTTTTTTGTGTGAGATATCCTTTTTTTTTAAATTGTGAAATTTTGAATTGTTAAATATAGTTTGTTTTAAAGCAAATTTGAACAAAATTTAACTGTGTAAAGTATCAACTACATGGTAGTGAAGTTTGTCACAGCAGTTTATCACGCTATGTATTGAAATATAACCCTGTATTGTGATTTATTTCTTATCTTTTTAGGGACAGATTGGTCTGAACGCAGCACACATGGTGATGGAACTGATCCGCGACAACAGGAAAATTGTTGACAGGATATCACATGAACACATTGACAAATTTGTAGAACTTCTTCGCAGGGACAAGGTACTGTGGGGGCATTTCTATTTGGTATTGACCCTGTAGGAGAAATATCACTTTGAAAATAAACCTTCCTAGTTATAGAAATTTGTCAGATATTTTGTTATGTCTGGAAGCATTTACTGTTTTAAAGAATTTTAAAAAAAATATTGAACTTTAATGTATTAGAGTATTCCAATGTGATGATGTATCACAAGGATGTCTTAAAGATCTTTTAATGTTTTTATAGCTGTTATTTCAGGGATATTTCTGTGAAATATATAGATGGATGAAATATTTGAATGGGGGTGTTTTTAAGCTTTTTATATCATAATTATATTTAGAACATTGTGAAACATTCAAGAGGGGAAGTAACTCTTCCTGGCTTGATCAGACTTTTATAACAACTTCGTTTGATAAGCTATTGTGCTATTGAGGGGATGAGTTAAATGAGATTTGTAGTTGATTGTAATGAATTCCCTTAATGTCTATTGTTACTTAAGGTTTTGTAATGTTGCATTGTGTTTGTGTAATATTACAGAATTACAGATACCTAGATCTTCTGAGTGTCCTTTGCGTATGTGATGGTGTTTCCATAGCAGACAACCAGAAGTACATTACTGAGGTCTGGCTCATGAAAGGAACACGGGTAAGTGGTGTATTTAAGGGTCAGGAACTAATTGTCTTCATAGCTGACTAAATAAAGCATTGTTTTAAACATTATGGTGGACTGGCAAATGAAGCCTTATCATTGCTGTGAAAATTATTTAGGCTTTATAAAAAAAAATGAGATATTTTCATATATTTTACAGCGTCTGTTATTTCATGAAAATGATTATTGAAATATCTACAGTAGAAGGATATTTTTACTGGTTGTATGTACAACTCTCCTCATGTTTTTTTTAGAATTGTGTGTTTAACACTGATCTGGGCCAGAAGATCGGGAAGGTACAGGGAGTTGTTTATGTGTCCACCAACATGTGTAAAACCTGGATGGAACTTGCTGATTTTGCAAAGGTATGATCCTGTCTTGTTGGTGAATGTCTGTACAAATTTAAACTACAACATAAACTTATAAGATAATATTCCGACTTCATGGGAAGGCCTTGCTGTTCTTCGCCATTTTAAGCACAGTTGCAGTGAACCTTTGATTACCATACATTTATTTGATTTTTTTTTGCTAAATTAATTATAATTCATGTATAAATATGAAATACTGCGGGTTTTTTGTTTTGGTTTATGATGAAAGACTTTTTCAGACTTCATATAAAGGAAGTAATTTTTAAGGAATGTTTAAAGATATTGTACAATAGGAAGACTTTGTTAAATTTCATGATGACAAATTCAATTCAGGAACCTGACTCTGATGCAGATGATGTAAGACTTTGTTTAAAACTGTCAGTTTCCTTGGCTTGTGATAAGTGTTTCGTATTTCTTGTCTTTCTTTACAATTTGTCTAGTAATTTTTGTGATGTATTTAGACTAATGAAGATAACTTTTTAGATTTTGATGCCGATGCCATGAGGGGTGGGGGGAGAAGGGGGCAATATAATGTTATCGACTCCTGTCCACCTGTTCATTCAATTCTGTTTCGTTTTGTAATCAATCTTAAGCACCTCTGAGAAGATTTTATCGTAACGTTGAGTTCTAGTTCTACAACTAATCAGATTTATTGTGTTTACAATATGGGGCCTCATTCATGTCTTGTATAGATGATTTCTAGTTACAACTAATTCCTTGTTAGGTATTATTCAGACTAAATTTAGGCTGTGAGCACCAATGTTATAATATAAATGATTGTCTTGTGTGAATTCTCTTCTCAGAACTGACCTCAAAATCATCATCCTACTTTTGAAACCAAGTTAAAACCTTTCTATATGATTGCATTTAAAGAAAATTCTTTCTATATTATAGTTATAATGAAGTGAAATTCTGATATGGTGTCCGTCAGTGGAAGAGAAATCTGACGTTCTTCCACAGAAAAGAAAAAAGATTATCTGTCATAATCTACTAACAGATTAAATTTTTTCATTTAAAATTTTTTATTTTAAAAAGTAATTACTTTTGAACATCTTTTTAAGTATTTTCTGTTGTAGCAGTAACGCATGTATCTGTTGTTGTTGATTTTGATAGAAAAGCTTAATAGTTCGTAACTTTTTTGTAATGTGATCATTCCCTTGTCTCATTGGAACTCTTCAACTGACTAAATCATATAATGTTGTGACTACTTTTTGGATCCCTGAAAATTGAAACATCTGTCACAAATCAAGTTGTTTGAGATCAGTAAGCATCATTCTTTAAGTAATGAGGCAAGGAAATTTCTGTGGAAATGTAGATATACTGACCAAATCTTTAGCAGTGAAAAAAACAATATTGGAAGTCTTTCTTGCAGTTATGTATTTTCTTTGTTTGTGAAGCAGTACATATATGGTAAATTCATTCTTCATGCTTTGGTTTGTCAATGTGTTTGTTCAACAAACAAAGTACAGTACCTTGAGTGAACCCTGTGACAGATTAAGATTTTGCACCTGGCTTAGATTTTTTAGCTATAATAGGTCAAAGTGAAAAGGTCAAAAGTCACACCAGACGAATTTGGAAGATGAGGGAGCCACTTTGTTTTGTTTTCTGTTGCCTATATAGTTGAATAAGACAAGCAAAGAACAATTCGCTGAAGGAACGGATATAGGACTGTATGATATTGTTTGTTTCCATGAGAAAATTTGAATCGCCTAGTAATTTTGAAAAAAAATGTCATATACTCATTGACTTTGGAGTTTAAAAAAATATTTCTTAAGTTTATATTTATTTTAAAAAATCTGAACAAAATATGGTTGGTACCAATGACCATGCTATTCCATCTTTGAAATCAGCCCTGATTGACTCTCTCTTATTTCCAGCGTCATGACAATGATGAGACGTACTTGTTCTTGGTCCACCAGTTAGAGCTGTTTGGTATGCTGTGTCATGTAAGTCAATTCAGTGCTTGCAGCAAATGCGTTCTACCAAACTAAAGCGAAAATGATTCAATTAAACCAGAGTGATAGCCTGTCCATGTATAATTCTACTCCAGCCTATGAGATTAATTGACTGCCAGGCTCCTTTATGATGTGAAAATTACACTTAATAAGTGATAGAAATCTGTAACAATATCTACCGAGAGATGATAAATCTACCGAGAGATGATAAATCTACCAAGAGATGATAAATGATATTGAAACTATAATTAGAAGTCTTTGTCCCCCTGTGATGATCCAGTAAACTTTCATGTTGAGAAGATGTCTGTATTGTAACCATTTATAACATCTTTTAGGGTCAGAATGATTTCTCCATCCAAGTCATCACTGAACAACTCAACTACCTGACCTGGGAAGAAGCGTTCACTTGTCTGAGTGACCATCGCTTGCCAGATCAGCTGCGTGCTCAGTACTGTGACCTTATCATCAGTAAGTCAAAAATAGGAGAATCTGGATAGTTAACTCTTAATCTGGTCCATTTTGTGTTCTACTAGCCTATGAAAATAGGAATCTGGCATTGTTTTTCAAAATGAATATTAACTTTGTAGTTATATTTTGTAACTGTAATTATGAAACAATGTACAGAATCTTTGTGTTGCCAGATTTTTTTAGCACTTTGCAATGATGGAATAAAGTTATTAAAAAGTAGACATTGAAACTAGCTAGAGATTTCAGAAAAAAAAAGACTTTTTCTTTTTAACTTTCAGCAGAAGTGTGAAAATTTTAACCATAGAAAACAGCAAACTTTGCAATATGTCATCCTATTCTAATTACTCCTGTTGGCTCCATGTACAAGGAATTTGGTGTGGGAAGAATTAGATTTTTCTAGACTTCCACATGGTTTGGGTGGTTACCCCATACATTTTTACATCCACTCGGAAAATCAGGAGAAAAGTTTCTTTTCCGTTATGGTATCTACCCATCCAATGTAGTATTGCTGTTTTGCTAACTCTCAGAACAGACATTATATTTAGTGACTGCATTTGTCAATCAACTCAAAATTAATAAGTCTATTTTTTTAAAAAAAATTTCAGACACTTTTTTTTTATAAATTTATAACACACTTACTTTCCTTTGGCAGCCATGTTTGTTGACATCGGTGACAACCACTCTGTGATTGATCGTGTGAAGCTGTCGTATATTTATGACGAAATTGATCAGTTTGAGGTAGGTTATCTCCCAATTAGTTTTTTTCTATATTATAAATAACACTGATTTAATGTTTTGTATTGTAATTACATTTCAGTAAACTTTTGACTTATCTATCTATCCATAGTGTAAACCCTAAAATCTTAAATAAAAAAAGCCAGTCTCTCAAGTAAGTACTTTTTGAAAATAAGCCATCAATTCCTGACTGGGAAATTATTTTTAAAACAATCTGGGCTGTGGGCATAGAATTAAATCAAGTTAAAACTCAGCAAATCTGCAATATATCAAGCCTTTATATGACTGTCATGTGATCTTGTACTTTGAATTATTGTCATGGCTTGATGGTCATTTTCACTCAATTTTGTTCCTATACATATTTTTTGGAGACAGTATTCAAAGTAACACAAAAGACTGGATATGACAATCAGTGTCTATCAAATTGTTCTGCCGTTAAGGGAGACTATTTACACCACACTAATCACACAAGTGATGTTGGTCTGCCAGAGGGTAGGTGCAGCCTTGATGAAGAGGGGGCTCTCAAGCTTGTGGACACTGGCCCAGCAAGTCCTGTGGTCAGATATATTAAACAGCACAATGTGCAGATAATTAAGAAATCAAGGTTTAAGATAACAAATGTTCAACAGAATTTTTTGATACAAGTTTAAAAATAATTATGTTGCAGTTTTTCCACAAAAGTAGACTTGAAATTTATCATGTTTCTTTATTTCTGTCTTTATGTCAATATAAATTTTGAATGTTATAAGTGATAAAAGAACTTTTGAAAAGTATTGTATTTTAGATTGCTGCTGTTTGTTTTGTCATTTTGAAAAGAAATGTTACTCTTTTTTTCAAGTGAAACCCCTTTAGGCATCATTATTGTCTATCTTCATCACTAACGGTATACATGTGATTGAGATATTTTGAAGAATATGACCAAAGAAATTCTTATTTTGCATTTTGTTTTGAAAAAGAATACAGAATCTTTCATTTTTTTAATTTTCTTTCATCAGCATGTTCTTGTGCAGAAGACCAAATTCGATGTAAATATAATCATGATAGGCAATACTCTTTATTATAAAAAATTCTCATTGAAAATAAGCTAGTAACAAAATTAAACCATGAAATCACAACTAAGATGAAATAGGCCAAGGCTTATTTTAAGATTTCTAAGATTGTAGGGTATCTCACAATGAGTATTGATTTGAGAATAAACTCCCACATTTAGTTTACATGCACTAATTCATGAAAAATCGTCTATGAAAGTTTTGGATGGAAATCAATGTAAAATGAAATATTGCAGGATGCTCGAAGTCCAGAATCTCGTGCCAAAGATTCACGAGTCAATGCAGTCAATGCTACTGTACGTCCAAGCAGACCTCTCAGTCGTCGTGATAGTGCTATAAAGTCTTTTGGATCATCTCTTAGAAATAATACTCTACGTCCCCTTAGTGACGGACCTATGATTTTAGTCGAAAATGACGAAGAGATTGATGAAGTCTGGGTAAATGTTTGGAAACATTGAGCCTTTAATACAACTAAATCACTGGAGTTGTCACTGTTAGTTTGGAATGTACCGCACTGTCCCTCCACCCCCCAAATATATCAAGACTCTCAGGTGCTTCATATATATCAACTTTCAACTTGCATGAATTCCAAACTAGTGTAGAATCTTTAGGCTCTGTCTACCATTGAACACCTGTATAGCCTTATTTCTTTTCTGACTTCTTGAGAGTGTTATTTATATACAAAAATATAGTTGGCTGTAGGTACTGATTTATACTTTTATGGAAAATGCAAATTAATTTATGAAAAGAAAGGGAATAATGATAATGAAAATAAAATTGGAAAAATAAGAAATAAATTTTCTTTTGTAAACATATAAACAATCTGTAACAAGAATAGAGAAAGTTCCTGGCATTGTGTGCATGAGCAGTAAAAATACCTGTAAAATACCTCAGAAAAACATCGATAAATAAATGTCAGGTTTCTTACGATCTGGTAGGAGTTACAAGTTGATTTCCTATAAAGTATCAAGCTATTGAACGTTAATTAAATATCAGTATTGTGTTCACAATCTTGAAAAAACAAAAACAAAAACAGAAGCAAACATAAATGATTGTGGTGCAAACATCTCCAAGTTGATATATGATAAGGAAGTTGTACTATTATAGAAAATATGGAGAATTATAATATTGTTTAATTAATTATCTATGTTTGGATACTCTTTCAGTTTCAATATGTCTGTGTGTTCTAATTTGATAACATCAACGAGCAACTCAACACTATTTCCATCCAAAATTTTTTTTAGGAAAAAAAAAAAAATATATGAATTGATGTAAAATAACTATGGCCCAATGAAAATTTCAGTATTGCACTTTGGTTTGATCCACTTTACATGTAAACCGTTTCCTTACCAGTTAGAAACACATTTACGCAATGTGTTAGTCAGAAATTGATTACTAATGTTAATTAAATCAATGATTAATAATCACAAGCACAGACTCCTAATAGATATATGTTTTCATCTATCTTAGTACTGTAATAGATACTTTTGTCAAAGTTTCAGTTTTTGCAGAGTTATATACCACTGGTTCGTTATATATACAAAAATGATATATTTTTTACAGAAGACATCAAACATACTATTGTTTTCTATCTAATTTTTTTCTGTCATATGTTTTTTTCATAATTTGTTTTTTTTATTTGTAAATTTTATTTCCGAGGTATCTTGTTTCATGATTTTATTTCATCCTAAAAATAGCGAGAAATATAAAACCTGGAATTTTTTAAAATTTCATTAAAAACAAATTTTACTGGATTGTATTTCCCAATAATTGCAAGCCTTTGATTATCAACAAGCTCTGTTACAGTTACATTATCTTTGAAAGTATTACAAATCTGCAAAAGTTGATATTTAGAATGTTGAACAAAGACTGACTAAACACCACTGTAGCAATGGTAATGTTTTAAAATGTCTTGAAGTATGATGTATATTGGAAATCCTGTTATACACATTCAGATATAAAAACTTAGTCTCCTAGCTGTGTAACATCAGCACTTAGTGTATGTGTTGAAAGACTGCATAATGAAAAGCAGGATATTGAAATACACTGCGGTTGGAATTGATACACTTGTCTAATTATTGGATGTGTGTAATCATGACAAAATCAAATTTACATGCTCTCCCATACATGAAGATAGGAATAGTCCTATATGTAAAATATATCATGTTTTTAATATGTTATCAATGATTGACTGGAGGATGAATGGAATATATTACCCCCTGTTTGATAGCATGAGTGTGTTATGTTAACATATTTGTGTGTTCTAACATTACCAGCATGATTTTGTGGTAAGTATATCTGTAGATATTGACTGGTTAGCCTGTATGTATAGCTGTGTTGGTGAGGTAGTTGTGTAATGTTAGAAGATAGTCTTGCCTGTCGCATGCTTATAATCCTATTTAAATGATTTTATTTTATGCATGTTCATGATAAATTGATAAATGATAAATGCATACATGATGTAAATACTTGTTGTCATTGTGTAATATTTGTTGTCATTACAATAAATGCATGTGACTGACTTAGCAAAGCAAATGTATTGTAGGAGTATATACTTTCAAGAGATTGCCCAGGGGCAAAGCCCCCAGTGGGAGGGGTTAGGGGAGGAGGGGAAAGCCCCCTTGAAACTATCTGGTATTAGCTAATTGGAAATATGTTTTTTTATTCATACCAACACATTTTATACAACAAAAATGACAAAATGACAAAATAATCTTTGTTAACAATGATAGCTATTTCAAGTGTATGCTTAAGCATACAAGCATACATTAATATTTTTTTTTATTTATACCAACACATTTTATTCAATGTCTGGTAACTCAATCAACATTTACAATATCAAAAGGCATATCCAAACATAATGAGATGAAAATTCAAACGACAATATATGAGTTACATTAGAAATGTTAAGACATTTGGACCAGGTTACTAACTTTTCTGATAGGAGCTGGTTTGAAGGTCTGGTTGTCCAGAGCTCTGTTAACAAAGCCATATATGGTAGGATCAGATGATAATGTATTCTGAATATGATAAAAAAAAAATGGTGCTCGCATAAAAACTTCAGCATCACTGAACTTTGAATTTCTAATTACTGTAATTTGGTGAACACTCCTAAAAAAGAATATTTTGAAATAATTTGTCCTAAGTTGTTTTATTGTGTTATGTTATAGTTGTTGTGCTACCGTTGTATATATACGTCCTTGTAAGTAAATGTATGACGAAGTTGTTCGTATTTTTTAATTGGTACAGTTATGTGGTGTTTTTAATTGGTACAGTTATGTGGTGTTTTTAATTGGTACAGTTATGTGGTGTTTTTAATTGGTACAGTTATGTGGTGTTTTCATGTGTCTGCCAGTTATGAACCCTATCATCCTTCCCTCTTGCTAGGAATCCTTCCTTATATCTTGTCTGTGATTTGCTTTCATGTTACAGGATTCAGTTGCCTTTAAATCAGAAAAAAATGTCTTTTTGTGCTGTTTGTTATTTTTCATCTACAGCTCCCATTACACTGATTCATTGGTTTAATGGCATCAAGTTATTCTTATGTAATGTTGTAATTCACTACAAAATATAGAATACCCTCACTTCCTCAAATACATCTTTGATACACTTTCCTTCTATAATCATCATTCTGAGAATAATGGCCAATATTATTTTTATTTTCATGTTGCTAGTGAATTCCTATCCTTTAGCTGTTCTAAGAATTAATTTTCATATTAGCCTTTATTTTTGTAGGGTAGGAGGGGTGGGGGGGAGGCATTGAGAAATTGAATGAATTGATTTGTTATACTGAGGAAACTTTACATAGTTTTTTGATTGTTTGTGTGTAGATGTTTATTGTTTTTGAAAGTTTTTCTAGTGATTCAAAGACATTCGACATAGAAACTAGAATGATTGAGTCGATATTATATAAATAAATGTACATTTGTGTGTTTTATTAATGAATTTCCTATGAAAATCATATATCAACCAGAGTGATGTAAGTAAATCTATGTATTACATATCCTAAGGTCATGAATTTTTATTTTATCGTATAAATTATCAACATAATGCGATTTAGATATTTGTTTGTTATAGATGTGCTGTCAGTTTGCTATATTCTACTAACATGGGACAGTTAATTCAGTCAACAAGACGACAATAGTGTGTTTCCTGGAAACTGGTTGCTTTGTCTCGACTGTTCTGTAGAACGTGCCAGTAAATGTATATACTTGATTACAGGATGCCATAGACATAACACAGTCCACTACATACAAGTATTTCCCATCCATCAGTGACTGGATCTCCAGGTTTCTCAACAAGAACAGTGACATGACTGCGTCAGAAATTGGAAACAATATGTTGGTCAAACAGGTAAGATAGCCGTTGTCATTCTTTTGATAGATTCAGGCTGAATAAGATAGTAGCTGTCAATCTCCAAAGCTGGGAGATATCCCTGAGAGATGCAGGCTAGATAAGATAGCAGCTGTCAATCTCCAAGGTTGGGAGATATCCCTGAGAGATTCAGGCTAGATAAGATAGTAGCTGTCAATCTCCAAGGTTGGGAGATATCCCTGAGAGATGCAGGCTAGATAAGATAGCAGCTGTCAATCTCCAAGGTTGGGAGATATCCCTGAGAGATTCAGGCTAGATAAGATAGCAGCTGTCAATCTCCAAGGTTGGGAGATATCCCTGAGAGATCCAGGCTAGATAAGATAGCAGCTGTCAATCTCAAAGACTTGGAGATATCCCTTGATAGATCCTAACTGTGTCTTTGACTATCTAAGATTTTGTTTGATATCGTAGTTGCTTAGTCTACCCATGATTTTTGTGCCCCAGCCAATTATGAGAGGGCATATACTTTCAGTCCTGTCAAATTGTGTTGTGCCTGAAACCAAAGTCATCACTCTAACACCATCATTTCTTAAGGTCAGCTATGGCAATACCTCTGATGAGGTCAGGGTTTAAAGGTCAAGTTGAAGATGTACTTTGTATAGAAATTTGTCAAACACTGATACTAACATACATGAAAGTAGGACATCAATGTATCAGAGACATATGTCAGTATTTTGTTTTTAGAAATAATGTGAACTGTATCTTTGTGATAAATCATTGTTATACATTGATTTTACATCTACCATTATATTATCTTACTAATATATGATAATGTGCATCGTCAGTGATTGCTGTGAAATAAAGTACCGTTGTTTTACAATGATGATAGATTTTGTACCAAGGTGCAAGATATAACTAGATATATTGGTTGTTTTGTGTAATTGTGTCTTGTTTTTTAGGTCCTTCGACTGGTCCATTACCTGGTGTCATTTGGATTCTATTATAAATCTGAAGATATCAAGAAACTCATGGGTCCTCTGATGAGTCTAATTGATGGCCGGAATGACAAACCTTACCCTAATGTTATTGGTAAAACAATCCTTCATCTTCCCAAACTTTATCACTAGCTCACCATCAACAGATAACAGATGGTAGGCTGTTTAAACAATCTTGCTATCATTATTTCATTTTTGGAGTCTCAGAAAAACCAAATACTGCCAGGCGACTGTCTTTTATTTGACAATTGAAGATTATCCTTGCTCTTTCTTAAGGGGAATTCTTATATTTCATATAATTAACAGCAAACAAGAGAAAAGAATGGAAAATATACAACTTTTATAGAACAAATGAAGATCAGATGATGGTGGGCACCAAGATACTTCTGGGATCTATTGTTAATGTAAATTGGTGAAACATATCGTATTTTGTTATTATTTTGTAAGGTGGAAATCAAATTGCTATTTACCTTCATCAGTAAAGGTCTCACAATTTTAAACACCTATACAGTACATGACACTCATCTCACGTACATCAGGATACCATCCTTAAATGACTGTAGATATTGATAGGATGTTAAACAATACAAAACCAACCCAACTCATGTTTTATAGGACAAATTTTGACATGTCTCCTGCAATTTTCAGATTGATGTTAGGAGCAGTATGTTAGGATTATTGAGTGCTGTCTCAGTTATGTCCCTTAAAAAACATTTTACCCCTGTTGCACTGGACAGCATGTGATAGGGCTAGCCCTCAACATGTTGTTCAATGGGGTAGACACAGGTATGACATGGATACCCTGCCTCACTCTGGTAGTTCTTGGGCAGATAAACCTAGCAAACAAACCATCATTTCTTGAGATTTCCCCAGAAACCAGATCATTCATATTTCTGAAATTTTACATGGTGATGCACTATGATTGGAAGTTGTTAAAATTGATTATTAAGATAACCAAGCCACTTCTTTGAAAAAAAGTCAATTTACTAATTTACCAAAAACTTTTGTCATAAGGTCAAAAATGAAGGTAAATTCTGTACATTTGAAGGATGATTTGTTATAAAGGGAAGAAAATGGTTCAAATCTAAAAACTGGGGTCTAGGTTTAGTAGGAAACAATGAAAAATTTTGTATCTCTGAACAGTGAAAATTTCATTTCATCATTCATCATAAAGTAGTTTGGTATTTGGGGGGAAATACCCTCCCCCCTCCCCTTGAACCTCTACCCACCCACTCCCTTAAAAAGGGAGAAAACAAGAATTTATTTAATGTAAGGTCCTTTTTAATCAAGACTCAGGTCTAAGTCAGATTTTCTATCCATTAACTGGTAAACTTTTTGTTTTGTTTGAAAGTCATGAAGTGATCTTGATAGGATTTTGAAAAAGATAATATGATATTTCCCATCGCTTACCTATTTCTGTGTTATAGGTAAGGAAGGGGAGGAGGTGATGAAACACTTCAACCAATATGGCCGTTACCAGAGGAGTCCAGAGACCCAGGCAGTGGTGGACGCAAAGTGTCAGTAAGTACACAGGTCAAGGTTCACAAGGTCAATCAGTACACTTAGGTGGAGTCTGTATTGTCATTGTACCAGGTATATAATGACAATATAGATTATTTGGGTACTTTTTGAGGTAGAGAGTACCTGCTTAGAACACACAAGAGATGTGACGGCTAGGTTGTCAAATGGTAAATTAAATATTATATTTCTATCATACAATCTATAATGTATAGTTTTTCAAGTTCTCTGTGCTAATGATATGTTTACTGGGTTCTTATTTTCACACTATCTTTATTGACCGCAAATATAGCAGTTATATCCCCTGTATATGAATTTGACCAACGGTACTGTAAAACTAAAATGGAATTTAAGAAACTGATGTTCAGATAATCAATAAGTCGCCAATACAGTCTAACTTTGGTGTTGTGAAGTTCAAGGGACTATAAAAAAACCTTTCATACATCAAGACTTTGTATCATTTGTAGTATGTTATATTAACATTTTCATGTTCATGGCTACAGTTGATGACACAATATTAGTACATTCATATCACACTGTATATTTATTTTATTTTTAATTAATAGAGGATGCATAATTGATGGAAAAATCACTGTTTTTCTCATGCTTTTATGCTTAAAACTAAAAAATGATGCTTTTGAAATGAGTGAAGTCATCATACAAGTGATAAGATTTCCTCTGATTGTTTTCGCAATTACATAAATTAGATCTAAATATATGCCCTTACCACACTGTCTGCGATGAACGTCACACAATGTCCCATTATCTTTGATTAAATATCATGGCTTGTAAGTAAGCAATTAAACTTCAATCTGTGACCTGTTATTAATAACAGTGTAACATAGAGCCAATGATAAAGGGCTAACTTAATTACATTGTCAGGTAGCACTTTGTTGAAGACTGTACTTTATAAAAATTCTGGATTTTTAAAAGATTTGTGTAATAATGTGTATTGTAATATTACAGAGCTCTGGAAGTGCTGAACTTGTTCTTCAACTTCATTTTCAATTTGAGATTGGAGGTAAGAAATCATGTCCCCCAAACAAAGTGGAGGACATTTTGCTTTGCTCCATTTTTTCTTATTATTACATTGCATTACAGTATTATTCTTATTTCTTACACTTTCTTCCCCCATTGAGGATTCCAGAATGTTTCTCGAAAACCATTGTATTGAATTTAACGAAACAGGAGTATTTGTATGTGAGGCCGTGTACAGGAGCTTTTTTTCTTTTTTCGATCGGTCAACTGGCCTGTCAACTGCAGCTTGGCTGGTCTGAATATGGCCAAAATATATACATCATATGATTTCCATGAAAATTGGTATGTAGGTGTAGTTTAATATAAAAAATTGATTGGTGACATTTGTCTTTCGATTGGAGAAGATGGCCGCCACATAACGGCTACCGATTGGTTGAAATTAAGATAACGTCCAATTTTCATCAAAACTGGTATCTAGTTGGGAGCTTTACACCAGAAACAAAATGGTGACATTCATTATTTGATTGAAAACTGTGGCCACCATATAGCGGTTACTGTTTGGCTGGAATGTAGAAATCTTCCAATTTCCATTAAAATTGGTATTCAGGTATGGTTTTATACCAGAATGACTATTGTGACAACTGTTTTCTGATTGGATAAGAAGGATTCATCATAGCAACTTCTGATTGGTTGAAGTATCTTTGGACGATTCAACTGCGGCCTCTGCTTGGTCAAAATTTGGTGAAAATTTAGATAACTCTTACTTCCATGAAAATTTATGTGTAAGTGTGGTTTATGTATAGGAACAACAATGTTAACATTCTTTTTCTGCTTGTACAAGATGGCTGCCATATAATGGCTTCTGACTGGTTGATATTAATATAGTGTCTGGTTTCTATGAAAATTGGTATGTATATGTATTGTTACACCAGAAACACAATGGTGACATTCATTTTTTGCTCCCGATTGGTTAAAATTTAGGTATTGTCCAATTTTCAATCAAATTGGTATCTAGGTGTGGTTTTACACACAGAAACACAATGGAGACATTCATTTTCTGAGTTGATAAGATGGGTGTCAATTACAACTGTGAGAGGGACACATGTAATTGTCCCCATTATAATTAGTACTTGTTGTGGTATACCTTCATCTTCAGAAAATTGTCACTGAATTCTCCATGACTTCCTTCCATGCTTATTTCTGTTGGGTTTTAAATACAGTTTATATTTCGTTGAGTTTTACTATCTAGTGATATCTTTTGTCCATTGATGATTGTAAAGTGTAATAACTAGATTTCTTGGATATCTTTAGACTGAGCTAAAACCTGGAGATTTTAACTACACTTTACACTTTATCAATTTAACTTATGGTATAATATTATTTATGGTGTCCTTCTTTTACAGGTCAAAGATAGTTATACAGAAGTCATGGTATATTTTAGGCCAAATTATCTGAAAGGTTAATAAAATTGAAAATATTAGAAAAACAAAATACTTCAAACTGAAACAAGTACTTATAATATTTTCAGTTTGGATTATGTTTTTGCAAATTGTGTTGTGACATTGTTTTCAGTTTTGTTCCATTTGTTTGTTTTTTTTTTCGTGAAATTTGATAATCAGCTGATTTGAAGAGTGATAAAAATTGTGTCATGTTAATGGATTTGATTGGAGATTGGTGGTGCTAATTGACAGTAAGAATTCTGTAACCAGTAACTAGTAGGAGAAAACCTAGAAAAATTACCTAATATTAGAAGTAGAACATTTGGCATTGATCTGGATTTGCTGTGATGAACTAACACACAAATGTTGACTGGAGAACAAGTCTTTTTTAAAAATTTTGTTATATTGGAGGAATCTATATTCAAAATTTATTTTGACGACTGTCAGATCATTTTTTAAGTAAAATTGGTGGAAAGCTGATAATGTATATGTTTATATAAGATGTTGGCAGGAAGAAGGGATATTTGTGTATTTTACAAATATTTAAAAAAAAAAATTCTTTTATGTCATATCTTTAGAGTTTTAGTTGCCTTGAGCTAAGCAGTACTTCTCATTTAAAAAGAACCAGGTTTTTATAAATAGACAAATTTAAAAGTTTTGCATTTATCTAAAATAAGTATTAAGCATGGCACACTTTAGTGAAAAAAAATCTTAACACCTGTAAGTTACTCAATACCTTTTTCCTTTCCAGAAATTCATGAATTTGTTCAAAGACACGCATACACAAGCAAATCAGACCTCGGTGCCAGCACCAGAGCTCGGAGCTCTTTTGTACGAGACCTTTGACCTCAGCAAGAACTTAGGGTAAGAACAATACAGCATTAGGTATATCTTCTGCCATATATACATTACCTGTATCCCCACCATATAGAGTATATATCATATGTATATTTATATAGGTTAGTAAATGAAGGGACTATTCTATCCTGTAAAACAGACCCTGTTTCATGATAAAAATGTTTTAGGGAAAAAATGCTCAGATAAGAGAATAACAAAACAATATTTCAAAAGTGAAAATAAGTTTGATGTTGACAGTTAAAGATTTATGTCAATTTTGGAAGTAAAGAAGATGGGAGGAGAGGAGTGGAAAATAAAACAAAATTTTTGATAAATAAATAAAATTAACATAGATTGATATTTTATTTTTAAAAAAATCTGTGTATGGAAGAACCAAGCATGAGCTGACATTAGAGCCTTAAGAATAGTACCAGAAATAGCTAGAATGGAGGTAGATATTGAAGGGACATCATGGTAAAAACAACTTGTTATTGATTGTACAATGTTTTATACACTCCAAGTTATGTTCCTACGCTATCCCCATATTCAAAGTCCATTGCCATTGCCCAGCTTGACCACCTCGTTGGTTCTGGAAACCACTCTCAAATAAAACACTGTTAACGTCAAGCGATAGTTTTGAAAACAATGGAGTTAATTTTGCAGAAATGACAGCAATAGTAGTAGCATTCAGTGAAATCAAACTTTTTATCTGCGAAAACTAAATATTAAAAATAGCGATTTGAAAGATCATTATTTATGCAGAAAATTGCCGCTAGAGGGCTCTAACTCTTTTTTGATATTTTAGGCAATGAGAAGGCCAGGAACGGTAAATTTTGTCTGAAAGGCTGTCGCAATAGGCTATGCGTACTGAGTACGTTTAGCCTCAAAATAAAAAAAAAAAAATTGTTTTACCATGATGTTGCCTTATATATCATTGCTAGTTAGTACTAATCTGTACCCAACATTCCTCCAGCATTAAGCATATATGTGACTACTAATGTATATCAGAAAACTATCCGTCACAGCAATGCTATTCTTCATCAAAAGATGGGTGTGTCATATTGGTGAATAATGGTGCACAGCTTCGTATACTAAACAAAATTATAGATCTCCGTAGTCTTAGGCATATGCTGAACTAGGTGGCAATTTCCCCTGGTGCTGTATATTGAATGATCAAGGTAGAAATTTTGTAGATTATTTTACAGAAAATATCTTGTGTTAAATTTTAAACTACGGTGTTAAATAATGAACATCTTTATATGCGTGGTGTCCACTGGTTTTGTAGTATCAAGGGTAAAGCGTAAGTATGAATTATCCCCACAGACAATTAACTCCTTGAATACACATCCTCATTCACAATTCCATCTCCGCTGAAGAAATTTGTAATTGCTAAAAAAGTGATACATAATCATTTAGCTTTGTCATTTGTGATAAAATACCGGGGACATAATTAGAATTATTTCTTGCGTTATTTTACTACACTATTTTTATTTGCTCCAACCTCGGCCATGAATTGATCCTTTAATGTTTAATCGATTTCTTTGAAATACAACCTTTCGTGTATATATAAATCTAGTTATATATTTTGTGGTTTTTTTTTTAATTTTTGTACTTCAGCACCAAAATGGAAACTGCCAATGATAGGTATTCTGTTTTGTAGATTTAAATTTTGTGTTCATATGTAAAAATGGCTTTAAACTAAGGTGTGAGGGTTAAAGTGTAAACGCTCTAATTGAAGTAAAATATAGCTGTACAGTGTATACTGACTCTTCAATGGCTTTGCTTGCAATATAAGCTTACATGATACATCTGCTTAGAAATGTATTCTCCATTTAAATGATACAGTTTCTTCTGAAATGGACTCCACTAACCTGAGTCCTATAGAATGGTTAACATAGGATTTCTTGTTCAAATTGTCTCTTTGTAGTGAATTTTGTTTTTTTATTTATAGAGTTTTTCTTAGCTAGTTGTAAAGTAGGATATTATTGTCTGAAAATTTTCACAGAATACTCTACAACTCTGACCAAATATAACATGGCATTATCTTATTGAAAGGTCTCGATTTCTTTTTTTTCCCCTAGAAACATTTTTAGAAGTATTGCCCCCTTTTTTGTTGTCTTGGTTTTTTTTTACAATTAAAAAAACAACTTCAAAAAATAAACTTAAAACCCTTTATATAAGGCCTCGTAAAACAAAAATTACTAATTGGAATCAATTTATAAATGTCTTGTAATATTATAAATCTCGTTAGACTCTGTATGTATAGATAAGTCTTAGAATAAAACTGAATACCACTTCATACAGATATCAGTTTTAAACTTTTAAAGAGGGGAGTCTCATCATATTTACACCAGTGCTGTAAATAGAGTCTTCATTACTATGACAGCTTGCTCTGTTGTTAAAGTAAGTAGTGTGTGTACCTTTAAGGATGATATTTCTGTACTTTTACATGTTAAGTAGAGTGTAATTAAATTCAGTTGATGTAGTTTTCCTCAGAGGAAAACATATGACTTTAGAGGTATTTTCAAGTGAAATTGGCTCAAATGTGCTCCATGTAACACTAGACACTTCCAACAAATTTCTGTAAGGGAGACAAACAGACTTTGATGGCAAGTCAGAAATTCCAGGTTCAGTCCCCTAGTGGCAGCATTGAAAAAATAATGGCCTTTGTTATATCATACTCTGTTTTCAACTGTTGACTACTGTCTCAGATATTATTAAAGGTATTTCGAATTTGTTTTTTTAAAAGAACCTTCAATTAATGATAAGAATTTTTAAAAAAATATGATTTGAGATATAGATTTGTACCTATCTTTGAAAAATTGAATGTATTGCTAGTTTGACAGTGTATACAGCATTTCACTTTCACTACCCATCACCCACTTACCACACAAATCATTTATCAGGATACTTTTTGACTTTATCATCCTCATTGGTCAGATTCTTGATAAGGTGTAAATATCTCATAACATAAGTTAATCAATCAAATCTTATTTCTTTATTGGATAATTAAAAATTGAGTGTATAGATCACCTTGGTAGTCATGACAATGGGGAACTTCTCTTTTACCTAGTAATGTCTAACTGTAGATTAGAGAGTTGGTTGGGATGCAAGATAAAATACTTATTTTGGGAAATCTGTTTTTGAATTTTAGTCTTTGATATAATTATCCTGGAGTAGTACAAACATGTTTATTTTCTGAGATCTTCTGTTAAATAACATGGGCATTGAAGATCAAGTTTAGTAAAGTTGTCTCCCTTACTAATTATCTCCCTTCATTATTCTAAGTAAAGCTTATCCCATGTGTAATTGTAAACTGAATGTAAAATACAGATCACATGGTGGAGGTGGTGACAAGGGTAAATCGTAAGTGTGAAAAAGTAACTGCCTGCCTATGTATATATACATGTACTCGTCTCACTTTTTGTCATGCTTGAGTCAATCTTGTACCGCTCACAGGATGTATGGGATTAAAAATATCACATGTCTGAGTTCTTGAGATAATGTAATGGACAAGATATGTGTATTGTAAATGAAATACAGATTTTGGAGTAATAATGGCACTTTTAGGAATCTTTAAAATGTCTAAATAGATTTAACAGAAAACTTAAAACACAAAGCATTAAGCTAATATGTAATCGCCTATGGAATACAAAGCAGTAATTAACCTGTCCTTTGAGCAACACACTGTGCTTTGTTTGAGAAATTCAATTTGAATATCAGATCAGTAATCTTGTTGGATTCTTCAGTTTTTTATGACCAATGATCAACAATTGTACCCAAATTTTGATACAAAACTATGAAAGAAGTCATGATATGGTTTCCTATATCAATTTCATTGTCAAGGTATAAGCTTTTCATGTCAAATATTTATAAATTATCCTCAAAAAATAATGAAAACAAAAAATAAAATAAAAAAGATAAAATATGGATGGTTCATAATCTGTAAACTTGGATTTTCTAGATATATATATTGCAGATAAATCTTTAAATTTATGTTTAGATGTTGAAAGATTTGAAATGTTTATATCTCTAAATTTTTGTTTGGATGTCGGTAGATTTGAAATGTTTATAAATCTATAAATTTTTGTTTGGATGTCGGTAGATTTGAAATGTTTATAAATCTATAAATTTTTGTTTGGATGTCGGTAGATTTGAAATGTTTATAAATCTATAAATTTTTGTTTGGATGTCGGTAGATTTGAAATGTTTATAAATCTATAAATTTTTGTTTGGATGTCGGTAGATTTGAAATGTTTATAAATCTATAAATTTTTGTTTGGATGTCGGTAGATTTGAAATGTTTATAAATCTATAAATTTTTGTTTGGATGTCGGTAGATTTGAAATGTTTATAAATCTATAAATTTTTGTTTGGATGTCGGTAGATTTGAAATGTTTATAAATCTATAAATTTTTGTTTGGATGTCGGTAGATTTGAAATGTTTATAAATCTATAAATTTTTGTTTGGATGTCGGTAGATTTGAAATGTTTATAAATCTATAAATTTTTGTTTGGATGTCGGTAGATTTGAAATGTTTATAAATCTATAAATTTTTGTTTGGATGTCGGTAGATTTGAAATGTTTATAAATCTCTAAATTTTTGTTTGGATGTCGGTAGATTTGAAATGTTTATAAATCTATAAATTTTTGTTTGGATGTCGGTAGATTTGAAATGTTTATAAATCTATAAATTTTTGTTTGGATGTCGGTAGATTTGAAATGTTTATAAATCTCTAAATTTTTGTTTGGATGTCGGTAGATTTGAAATGTTTATAAATCTATAAATTTTTGTTTGGATGTCGGTAGATTTGAAATGTTTATAAATCTATAAATTTTTGTTTGGATGTCGGTAGATTTGAAATGTTTATAAATCTATAAATTTTTGTTTGGATGTCGGTAGATTTGAAATGTTTATAAATCTATAAATTTTTGTTTGGATGTCGGTAGATTTGAAATGTTTATAAATCTATAAATTTTTGTTTGGATGTCGGTAGATTTGAAATGTTTATAAATCTATAAATTT